TTCTCCATTCCATTTGATGCCCCCTTACAAAAAAAAGCAAGATGACCCCCGGGAGCACAAATGAAAATGTGATAATTCCCTTTCTTTTCTTTTATCCTGAGCACCTTTTTACGGCCGGTGGAACGTCTGTGTCTCACCTCCTCGTCCCTCGTTTCTGTTTCCTCTTAATTGCCTCAGTGGCGGTGGAAAAGGGGGAGGGGGGGGTTTCTTATATCCTCCTTCACTACTCACCGTGCACTGACCTCTGACTTGTGATGGGGGGGGGGGTCTTCATTAACTCTTAATCAGTGGCTATTTAACATTTTCACATGTGCAGCTTGTGATAGATAACCATGTGGTATTACTTTTTCTCTTGAAGTTGGCTTACTGTAGGTGTCTTTTAATACCAATGCTGTGTGTGTGTGTGTGTGTGTGTGTGTGTGTGTGTGTGTGTGTGTGTGTGTGTGTGTGTGTGTGTGTGTGTGTGTGTGTGTGTGTGTGTGTGTGTGTGTGTGTGTGTGTGTGTGTGTGTGTGTGTGTGTGTGTGTGTGTGTGTGTGTGTGTGTGTGTGTGTGTGTGTGTGTGTGTGTGTGTGTGTGTGTGTGTGTGTGTGTGTGTGTGTGTGTGTGTGTGTGTGTGTGTGTGTGTGTGTGTGTGTGTGTGTGTGTGTGTGTGTGTGTGTGTGTGTGTGTGTGTGTGTGTGTGTGTGTGTGTGTGTGTGTGTGTGTGTGTGTGTGTGTGTGATCAGAGAGGATGCAGAGAACTGTAATATGAAGGATATTAAAGTTGTAATGTTTAGGCAAAAATAAACAACTATTTTGAAAATCTGAATTGTCATTAATAATGAGAATAAAATAAATTAATATCCTTGTGAAAAATATCTTTTTTTTAATATAGTTGTTTTTAAAGAACATTTCATATTTTTAAATGAATCACTTTTTATTTATGTACAAGAAAATGCTCTTTCCAGCTTCTCTGATATGGATATTTTATTGCTATTTTATGTTTTTTTCATAATAAAATGTAAAGTATATTTGTTTGGGACTGACAACACATTTAAATAATTTATTAATATATGTTGACATAGTATAGACCTAGCAATTAATTAATTACTGTTTCATAAATAACGAATATAAAATCCAAATAATGTTCTTGTTAAAAGGGATCATTTGTTTTGATGGTAAATGTTTCAAAATGTGTAAATTAATCACGTTTTATTTATTTGTATGTAAATGATTTTTCCATGATTGCGGTTAATGTTCACACACCGCATGTACTTTCTTGCTCCTGTAAAGAAAACTGGTTTTGCTCCTCCTACGTGTGTGTGTGTGTGTGTGTGTGTGTGTGTGTGTGTGTGTGTGTGTGTGTGTGTGTGTGTGTGTGTGTGTGTGTGTGTGTGTGTGTGTGTGTGTGTGTGTGTGTGTGTGTGTGTGTGTGTGTGTGTGTGTTGTGTGTGTGTGTGTGTGTTGTGTGTGTGTGGTGTGTGTGTTGTGTGTGTGTGTGTGTGTGTGTGTGTGTGTGTGTGTGTGTGTGTGTGTGTGTGTGTGTGTGTGTGTGTGTGTGTGTGTGTGTGTGTGTGTGTGTGTGTGTGTGTGTGGCCAGCCAGCAGGCCTGTGCTGGTACGGTATATTGCCTGCAGTCACTAGGCAGCTGTGTGAAGATGTTCCAGCTCTGAATGTTTCTGTACACCTGGAGAGCGCCACACCTTCGTGAAATTCATATAAGTCAGCTATCCCTGGCATCCTCAGAATGTCCTCTTTTTCGCACCCTCATATCTGCGGACTAGATTAGAGCCGGGCTCACTGGATCCCTCCAGTTATTAGCCCAGTACCACTCTCTCTTTTGTTATACTATCTTTAAATGGTGATATATGTTTTTTCGTGGATCATCTGGAGTCATGATGTTATCCGGGAGATAACGGAGGGAGTGCACCATATGGGAGTGCTCTAAATGGCGACTGGCGTCCTGTGTTTGCGTTAAATGGGCATGATACAGCGGCCAGGGCAATATTTCTCTCTTAAAGTACCCCCCCCAATACACCCTCCTCCCGCCTTTCCTCTCAATAGGATCCAGTCTTAGGCAGATTTTCACTCCTTCAGCACAGGATTAAATGGTAGTAGTTACATTGATCAATAGGTTAAGAAGCATACAATCCCTCTTGCTGCTAATGACCTCAGTAGTAATGGGTAATAAAATGGGGGTGTGTAATAGCCTATTGCACAGAGGAGGCTGCTCCGGCTGTAGTTACAGCAGCCAGACGCTCCTCACAAGGCGGAGTGTGAAACCATGATGAGATCTAGGTGTAAAGAATTAAGACGGTTAAATTGAAGGAAATCCCGGTGTAATTTGTAATGAAATTGGCAGCTATCGAGAGCCGGGGTGTGTAAAACCTCACACTCTATATAATATGGCTTGACAAAATGATTATACATTTGAAAATAAGACAGCTTTAAACACGGTAGTCAAAAAAATAGAGCATGAAGTAGATTTTGAACACACATTATTATTTATCCTCAGTGTGCGTGGGGGGTAAATGTCATGTTTAGACGGGAACTATATATCACGTCACGTATGGCGCTTGCGTGTCAGAAAGACGTGGGTTGACCTTCAAAATAGTTCATCAAAATTAGAAGGGAAAGAAAGGACTTCAGTGGATAATGACTGTGAAATTAGGAGAATGGGAGGCCGGGGCTATGCAAATGACAGGACAAGTCATGTGCAAAAGTCAAGATGAAGTGCATATTAAGACATAATACAGGGGGGAATTAATATTGCATTTTTCTGCTCCTCGCGTCTGCTTCTGGAGATGTGAAGTGTGTGTTAGTCCTCCTGGGTGGGGCTGGTTCTCCGTCACTCTCCTGGGGGCTGGAGGCGGCACAGTGTGGCGTTGAGTTAACGGAGAGCATCAAAGCCGCTCCTTTCCTATTTGACATCCCTTGCCCTTTCCTCCACATTTGCTCTACATGCCGTTCATTATGACTTTGTTTTTGTTTAACAATAATGATGCAGAGAGAAAAAAAAAACCCCATGTTACCGTACGAGATTTTAAGCAACATTCAAAAATGCATAACAAATTCAAAAGGGCTGTCATTAGCTATAAGGCGGAGCCACAATTTGGGTAACCTTGGTGGAGGCGGACTGTCACCGTGTGATCAATCTGAGATACAAAGCATGTTTTATATGCACATATGCTAACAGTGGGGGGAGAAGAGTCCTGCATTTCAGATCTTACTTAAGTAGAATTACTAACGTACAGTACAGGCATCAAATCTACACCAAAAGTAAAAGCACTCGTCCCATTTCACAATCCTATATATTAAATGACTGGATTATGATAATTTATGCAATAATGTGTCCATCACAGCTGGTAAAAATAGAGCTAATTTGAATCATTTTACATTCTGGATATCTCAACCCGTCATGATATACCATAGTTGATTCATTAATTGATTTATATTTTGTGTTAGCTAATAATCTGAATCTGTAAAGTAAAGCTGTGGTTAAGCCCACTCAGTATGGAGATCAAGGAGATATTTGAAATTAAGCAGCCTAAAGAATACATTGCATAGCCAAGTTATTGTGGATACAAATATTGCCACCAACCAATAACAGGTGGCACAACACCACATGAGCTGAGACAAAATAAACTCCAAAAAAACCAGTGGGGTTTTATGGAATATTATATATGTGCTGCATCTCATGTGTGTCTTTTGGTTCTTGGGTGTAATGGACAGTCAATATAGTTATATATCGACTTCCAAAAGATGTAGTAAAGTATACATATTAAGTAATAAGACATTTAAATTAAAGTCAACTTCAAAATTGTACTTGAGAGCAAAACTTGCCTGCATCTTAACATACCCAATAAAACACCACCACAACATGTTAACAACCCGACACCATCACACACGTCTCAGTTGCTGTTTGTCATCCGAATGTGAAGGAAAGGAGCTTTTAATGGTATCGCACATCATGGTGCTGAGTGGCAGACACACTCGGTGTCCCGTCCGCCGCCCGAGCAATTAAGGCGCCCTGACAACTGTGGGCGCTCTCTCAGTGTCACAACAAATCACTTGTTTTGAGGAGTCATGCACTCACACCTTTCTGCTGGGAGTTAGTTAGAGGTGTGTGTGTGTGTGTGTGTGTGTGTGTGTGTGTGTGTGTGTGTGTGTGTGTGTGTGTGTGTGTGTGTGTGTGTGTGTGTGTGTGTGTGTGTGTGTGTGTGTGTGTGTGTGTGTGTGTGTGTGTGTGTGTGTGTGTGTGTGTGTGTGTGTGTGTGTGTGTGTGTGTGTGTGTGTGTGTGTGTGTGTGTGTGTGTGTTCTTCAGCATGGCTCCTCCTCCTCCAGGCACCTTGCATCCACCCCATAATAGATCTCTGCTGACAGCCTCTCTAATGAAATGCTCTCACATGACACATTGAGCCAACCGCAGCAGTTTTTGAGGCCATCTTTTCATGTCCTCAGGTATGGCATATTTGCCATGTTGTATAAACGCTGGATCTGAGATGCAGATGCGGATCATATTGTGGGAGAGGGGAAGGTTGGAGGATGAAGAGGATGTCTTGTGTCCTCTTAGCTCGCCTCAGTCTGGTGTGGTGTCAGAACAGTTAGAGGGGTGTGTGTTTGTTGGAGGGTGTGTGCCGCTTGTAACACATCAAGATGACACTTAAGATGAAGTCTAACAGTCCAGTATTTACCAAGAGGCTTTCTTTATATAATTTATTTATGTATAATTCAACTTTTTGGACAATAAATGAATTGTTAAAGTAGGTTTCTGTGCAGAACATCCTCTAATATGGACATATTCAGATTTCTTTGTTACTTTAAATGGAATATCTCTGGGACTGACGAGACAAAATATTAAACTTAAACTGGAATGGACATTTTTCTAAAATGTTTCCTGTTTTCTGCCACTTATAGACAATACATGTAGAACAATGAATCGCTTAATTCAAGTACTGCATTAAATCGGTCATGTATTAGTGGATTCTTACATCTGTGTGCTTGTTTGTGTGTTACAGGTTCCAGTTTCAGTGGCTATGATGACACCCCAGGTAATAACTCCTCAGCAGATGCAGCAGATCCTTCAGCAGCAGGTCCTGAGCCCTCAGCAGCTCCAGGTTCTCCTCCAGCAGCAGCAGGCCCTCATGTTACAGCAGGTAATGTGCATCTGACATTACTCTCATTCATCTGTAAATCTTCTTTATGTAAAGACAGCAAAGATAAATTCACTTTAAGCTGCCTTACTTTTCATTTGTTTTCCCTCGTTCAACATTCCTCAAAGTATTGAAAATTCTCCTAAAACCCACTGCTGAGTTTATACGACTGACAGGCTTTCACTCACGTGTCGCCTTCTGTCTTTTCTTGCAGCAGCAACTCCAAGAGTTCTACAAGAAGCAGCAGGAACAGCTCCACCTCCAGCTCTTGCAGCAGCAGCAGCAGCAGCAGCAGCAGCATGCGGGCAGCAAGCAGAATAAAGAGGTAGGCTGACATCACTCCGAGCGCCTGCCATTACCAAACCGTTGGCCAGACAGAGCATGGAAGGCATGTGTGCTCCCTCCCTCAACCCCATCTGCTTCCAGACTGTGGTTAAAGCACCGAGGAGGGGTGGGGGGGATCAAGTGCACTCATGCTTCTGATTAGCATGTCAGACATGCTGCATAAATGGCAACAACTGACTGATACTGTGCTAAGAATACTCTTTCCACAACCACATTATATGTATAGTCTGACATGCTTCATATTAGCATGATTAGCTCATTAGCATGTCAGTAATGCAGTATGACTGGCATTAACTGAATGATAATGTGCTCAGTATACGTTATTTTTCTGAAAGCACATAACATTTATAGTCTTTTTCAAACATGTGTGACATGCTTCTGATTAGCATGATCAGCTAATTAGCATGTCAGAAATGCTAGACTGTTGGCAACAACTGACTAATAGGCTACTGTGCTACGAATGCTCTTATTTATCTGGAACCAGACTATATGCATAGTATCTGACATGCTTCTGATAAGCATCATAAGAATACTCTTTTTTTTAAAAACCATATTAAATGTAGCTTTTAAGCGTTATGTCTGGCATGCTTGTGATTAGCATGATTAGCTAATTAAGCCGATTAGCATGTCAGGTATGTGGGATAAATGACAACAGCTGATTGATACAGTGCAACAACACTATATTTTCTCTGCAACCACATTAAATGTGTATTTATTTTGAAATGTATGTCTAACATACCTCTGATTAGAACGATTAGCTAATTAGCATTTGATATGATACTGATATTTCCCTTAGAGTACTCTTTATTTTAGTTTAGTGTGCACAATAAATGCATAGTATTGAAGTATTGGCACTTGACACTAATACACCAGCACATATCTTTATGGTTTATTGCATTGTCCCTTTGGATAAAGCGTCATCTACTGTAAGTGTAATGTAATTGAGCCTTGTGAATTGTTATATTTAAAGTAAACAAGTGTCCTGTGCAACAAAGAGATGGCCGCTGCTGCGAGCCTCGTGTAATGAAAGGCAGGAACAGGGAGCATATCAATCTGAGAGGCTCTGTAATTAACATGGAAATGGCAGAGGAAGAGAAGGCATGTCATTGTGAGATATCAGTGCGGAGAGCGCTCCCAGCTTTGTTGCCTACATGTGTATTTTTTTTTTCTTTCTCTCTCCATCTTTCTTGCTCTCTCCTTGGCGCCCTTCAGAACGGGCAGTGCTCGCTTATAGGCAGCGTCTTAATGCGTGTTAATGACCAGAGGATACGAGCATCACTGTGGACAAAGCATATTATTATTGTGCGGTCAGAAGAAGTTCAAAGACGAATCTGGGCATTTCTGCTCCTGTCCCCGTTGAGCTCCGTGTTTGGAGAGTGGAGGAAGCAGGAGAAAATTAAGCCCGATGTTAGACTCACACACATGCTCACACTTACACACACGCACACACGTCCGCGTCCTGTCGAAGCTCCCAACTTCAAAGTCGTAGCTCCCTAATTAATGAACTGCGGGCTTCAGTTTGGACAAGTTGTGGCGTGATGCTCCCATAAATCAACATGACAGCGGAGCTCCTCGGCCTCAGATAGGGCCTGTCACCAAGTCGCATCTGATGTAAACACGAGAGGGGCAAAGGGGGAGAAAAGAGAGGGAGGGAGGAGGGGAAGGGGTTGGAGCAAGGAGGTGCAATTGATCAGTTGAATGGAGCATGAGAATAAAAGAAAAAACAACTTTTGAAGCATATTATGTATGATCACAGGAAATGGATGCAGCCTCGAGAGGCTCTCCCCCTCCGCCCGTGTTTTCTTTCTCTCCCCATCACCATCGCTCTCGCCTTTTTTCTTTTTTTTCTTCCTAGTCGCAGCCATCAAAAGACAGAATAAGAATTATGCAGTGACTCCCCTGTGGCGGCCAGACAATAACCCCCTGTTGTTGCTTTGTGCCTCTTTTATTTTAAAGACATCAAAATTTAGTTTCTCAAAGATCTTTAACTTTATATTTGAAGCTTGACAATAAGGCCTGCCAGTGTCACTCTTTATCATTTGTCAGGGACTGTATTTTTCTCTCCCTCATGCCACTTCTTGTTAACCTCTTATTTGGTCTATTGGGTCTCGGGCTTTTTTAATGTGTCTGCATGCTGGGAGCGCACAGGAGCTCCTGTCAGCTGATGGGACCAGAAGAGAAAAAAAGAATGTGAAGGGGAGAGAGTTAAATTCATTTGCAATACTCGATTTTTCCTTTCTTCTCCTTTTTTCTCCCTCCTCTTCAGAAAAGCCACCCTCTATTTATTTAGCGTTTTGATGAAAGACATTGTTCCTTGTGAACTCCCACCCCCGTAGCACTGTTATCTTTCTGTCAGGGAGGAACAGAAAAGCACTGAAGACAACTTTCCTCACACTGAAGGAAACGGGGGGAAAAACACCTTTTCATAAGATCAGAGCAGATCACAGTCCACCTGCATATCAAACTCTTTCCTCTCACGTGCCCCTTCCCTCATTTTGGGCCACACATAACCCTGTGAAGGAATGAGGCGACTCATCAATTATGACCCTCTTCCACCACTGGCAGAGCGTCTTCCCTCCCTGATTGATCCAATGAGACGACCCCACTCGTCGTAATAGACCACTGCTGCCCAGAGCTTTATTTTTAGAGAGGGTGTGGGGGGGTGTGAGGAAGGGAGAGGAAGGCCGTTGGACCCTAGGCTGTGTCAGGGGTTTTCAGAGAGCGGAGAGTGACCTGACAGCCATGCTGCTGCGAGACCTTTTTTGTGTGCACTTGATTGTGAGAAGTAAACAAAGCAGTGTATCCTGTGTTTGGAAACAGGGCGCGGTGCACAGCTTGGCAGACCCTGCAGTGCTTTTAGTGCCCCCAGCCACCACCCGGCCGCTTGACTTATGGCCTTGTGTACTCATAAACAGGCCGGGTATCCTGTTGAGTCTCAATGCGCATTGTATCTGTTGGAAAATCCAAAAGGTGATCTGACAGAGCTACGGTAATGATTAACAGTTAGGGTTGTTGGTTGTTTGGGCTTAATCGACTACGATTATTTCAGTCTGTCGTTTTTTAAATATTTGTATATGTTAGTTAGTTCCAAGAATGTTATGAGCACAAGGAATACAGTTGGAGCTTCTGCGTGATTGTTTTGAGGGAAAGAACATTTTATGATTTTGTCAACTAGGTACATTTGAGAGAATCTAATTTCACTATATTTTTTTACCATTTTGATATTCAGGAATATTGTAGGGCAGATCCTTGGTGCTTTAACCTTATATTTACACAATGAGTATTGGTCAAATAAGCTACAGCAATGTGAAAGTAATGACTAAATGGGAAAATAAGAGCTCATACAGACTAGTTAGTTCACTTTCCCTTTTTCAGATATCTGAGATCTAAGACTATATTTAGTCAAGTCATATTTGTATACGTGAATATATTGCCCAGCCCATAATGTGGATTAGTCTAATGTCAATTGTGAAGAACAACCCTATTTTGGGGACATTTTGCTGAGTTGACTGAGGATTTGTTGAGAGCATGGGACGAACAGAAAGGGTTCAAAGTAATCCCCCTCCTCTGTCATCTAAAGAACATCTCATTTGTTTTGACTCAAAGGGGATTTTTTGGGAATATTGGATAATTTCCTTCTATTTATTATTCTGACTTCTCCGCTCTCACATCACCTCTCAAAGTTCACACATTTCACTAACCAGCGCCAACAAAAGTCTCCTCCTGTCCCTAAAGACACACCAGCCTTTAGAGGAGAAAAGCTTTGAGGAAACAACACAACAGCTATCTTTTGCTAGTTCACAGTGTGGAGCTTGTTGGGGGAAAGCGTGTCCCTGAACGCAGCACGGTGCCGGGGAGAGTTGCTCCGGTGGTTATTAAGCACTCTGGTTTAGTCACACGTTGTTTGCTGAATTATGAATGGCTGTAATTAAATTCCTGTGGCTCTTATTATGAATGATTAACTATGTTGTTTCATTGTTTGTCATTTGCCTCACGACTCCTCGTTAATTAAGGGAGACAGAGAGATGTACGCCGCACCTGTCTTCACACACTAAAGGCAAAAAATTATGAAAATCCCGCTCGGCTATTGTGCACGAGAATCGATGAATGTGTTTTCTTATGAATGAACGTGTTGTTCTGAAGTGTTTTACTACCTGGGAACTTCCTGGCCCCCGGATCTAAAGATGTTCTTCCTGAAGAGCGTACAGGAATGTTTGCACTGGCTGTTATGCTTCTGTATTTCTGTGTGCTGATGGTGTGTGTGTGTGTGTGTGTGTGTGTGTGTGTGTGCCCACAGCAGCAGGTGTCTGCCCAGCAGCTGGCCTTCCAGCAGCAGCTCCTGCAGGTCCAGCAGGTCCAGCAGCAGCACCTGCTCAACCTCCAGAGGCAGGGGCTGCTCACCATCCAGCCCGGGCAGACCGGCCTGCCGCTGCACTCCCTCACTCAGGGTCAGTACCTGCTCATACCACAGCACTGTGTACAACTACAACCCTACTGCACTCTGTCAAATATCAACAACACACCGGGGACAATGAAACACCGCTTTTTAACTACAACATATTCAAAGGACGTGTTAGAATGTGTCTTCAGATGTGAAATTAAGAGGTACTCCAAGTATGACAAAAGTATATGGTTATCATTTATCTGTTTATTGATACCACGGCACTGCATATAACTACAACCCTCTGTCGAATATCCTGTCAACATAACACTGAAACACAACTATGTCCCGGGATTCAAGGCTTTTATTGTCATGTGTGCTACAGTGTAGATATATCAATGAAAAGCTTAGGTCCCAGGCTCCTCCAACAGTGCAACACAATAAAACAGATACAATAGTGCAAGTAAATACAAATTAAATAGAATATAAATAGTGCCAGGAGAGTCTATATACAAGTAATTGGAATATTAGATAATTAATGTGTAAGTTGCAACCAGATGAATGTCATGGAGGTTCTTTCAAACGTTCCGGTGTTTAACAGTCCTATGGCCTGTGGAATGAACTGGACAATGAAACGCCTCTTTTTAACGCCAACATATTCAAAGAATGTTTTAGAATGAGTCTGCAGATGTACAATTAAGATTAAGTCTGACAAAAGTACATTATGGTTATCATGTATCTGTTTATTAATACCACAGCACTGCATATAACTAGAAGCCTCCTGTCAGACATCCTGTACATAATTAGTCAACGGCTCAACGCTGTACAATGCTCTGTCTGGGTAAAATATGACATCTGATTGAACAGTGTCAAAAAGTGCCAACATGGATGATCCTGGTCTTTGAAATGAAATGCTATTATGTGTCCATTGGAACGTAGTAAATTCTAAACTATAGTGCCAGAGTCTAACAATTAGAGAAAGAATATTAAGTGAGTCATAACCACAAGAAGAAATATCATAAATGTGTCATTTTACAAAACTGTATTTCAAAGACTTTTTGACATACCTACAAATCTAGTATGATTTAAATGAGTTAGACATAGCGTTGGTTAGTGGAAGAAGAAGAAAAAAGATGTATATATATGAATCTAGAGAAAGGTGTTAAATAGGCAGAGTTCTTACGGTCATTAAAAACCTGGAAAAGTCATGGAAATTCAAAATGCTAATTCCAGGCCCTGGAAAAGTTCTGGAAACAATATTTTTTCCAAAGTCATGGAAATGTAACTAAAGTTGCATCAAATATAATTAATATTTTATCTAATCGCCGAAATAGTAATACTGTAATGATAATAAATACTGTATCGTATGGTAATGAAACGTAAAATGGCATTTAACTGACGAGGTATTTTGCTGGTGAGATTTGAGTTGCTTTAGCATGAAGAAGCTAGTAAGCCTATTGGATTTGTTTGAGATAGGCACAACATGTTTCAGATGCAGACCTTATTTTCCTGTTCCATGTTAAAATAAACCATTTTCAGTGGTACCGCTGAGAAAGAGTCATTTTTTTGGACATGGAAAATTAGGTAAAGGTCATGGAGAAGTAATGGAGAAGTCATTGAAAATCATTGGTGAAAAAGTGTATGAACCCTGAGAGAGTGCAGACTGGAACACACTATTAATTATAAGCGTTAAAATACTCAAATGATGGTACAATATGGCAAAATGTCCAAATCATCGTACCAATACGATAAGGATCGTACGTTATGCGACGCCGCTGAACAAACCTTGTGAAGGTTTTTTTTATAATAAGGAAAATACTCCAAAATAATTGAAATGTTTAGTTAGATAAGGTAGAAATTGCAGAACTGCTAATGTATTTCTTCAAATGTTTTGAGTGTTTTATATGCTACTGTTATTGCTCTGCAGCAAAACCTGTTCATATTTGCTTAGTCAAAGTGAACAACGTACCACTTTAGTCTGAAACCAAATACTGTGTGTGGTTTGAGTGGCTCAGGACCATAAATCCTAACTAAACACTTACTTATTAAAAAATGTATAATCCCTCCTCGCAGGTTCATTGTGGTGTGCCACACTTTATCTTAGATTAGTGAATTCAATCAATTTGTTACTGGAAGGAAAAAATATCACAAATTATTTTGATGATTTATTAATTGCTTTAAAAAAAAAAAGCAGTTTTCAGCGACTAATACATGGAGTTCTTCTACCTTTTCTGGTTTATATCACAATTAATTGAACATCTTTAGGTTTTTGAGCGACAAATCAAGATATTTAAAAACATCACCTCTGAATTTTAGAAACCGAGATGAACGTTTAACCTGGTTTATAAAATAATTGTCATTTTAATGGAAAATCTCTTAGTTGTTGCCCTATTTTTTACTGTTTTCAGAATCAGAATAACTTTATTTGTTCCACAGAGGGGAATTTTTTGTATCATCCTGGACTATAGAAGTATTAAAACGCCAGTGTTCAGAGTGTCCATGCTCTGCCCTTGAACCCTCTGCCCTGTGAGTGGCATCCTGGTGGCAGTCTCCTTCAGCCCTGGATCTATTGTTCCTAAACTGCCCGTGAACTTGTCATTGTGAAAGCGCCTGTTACTCGATAGGGACTGTGAGACAATATTTGTTGTTTGGCCAGGAAGTTTATTTCTTTATTCATCCTTTTAATATTTTGTTAAGGAGTGGTCCCCTCGTGACAAAGACGCCATCATAAAGGTTTCAGAACATGACATTGACTATTCATTCCCAGCTAAGACAAACAGTTTTGAAATAACAAGATAAGAGCGATACAAAACGGTGAGGGTTGGAGGGTGGTTAGGTAATAGGCAAACACAAACAGGGTTTGTACAGTGGTGTTATTGTTTGGACTGGGAATGGAATCACTCATCCACCCGCAAACGATCGCCTTGGGCACAGGCGTGGAGCGTTGTGTGTGTGTCAGATGTCTGGCAAACACACACACACCCCTTGAGTAAAGCATTTTGTGGTGATATTGCTATTGTATAACTGTATTGCTGATGGATTTCACAACAGTCTAAGAACATCCTGTTTACACTGTGTCAACACCAAATACCTGTGAGGCATCTCACTTTATCAAAAGACTTAGTGTCTTTAACTCAAACCTCTTTTCACTTTTCAGTTCACTTTATCATGAGTGAACTGTTAAAACAATTGGGTTTAAATAATCAATTGCATCAGAACAAACTAAGATATTTTTTTTACAATGTAGACACCCCTTACTGGGATTTTTTGGTTGACAAGCTGGCCGGCTCTGTTGTGATTGGTCAACCGCTTAGAGATGTCCCGCCCGTTAGTCTATCACGTACAATGTGTTGGAGCGCTAGCCAATAGAAGCACAAGGGTTGCTTATACCTCATTCACACCAACGCAACTCCGGTTCAAGCTCCGTGCTAGAGCTTTTCAGGTTCAGAACCGGTTCTTCGGTTTAGCTCCGGCTCTTTTCACACTGCCCAGAGTCCACCTGGTGCTGCGTCATTGCGTCATCGTTTGCGTCATGACGTAACCGTTTGCGTGCCTGCTTCATAAAGCCAAAGCGCTTGGAAACCCCTCACAGCTGACACCGACAACAACAACAATGGCCGATTGTGCTCCAGCTTCCTCTGTACCTCTTCGGAAGACCAGATTCCCAGTAGGTAGCTGGTCTCTTCAGTGGACCACTGCTGCTTGTTAAGTTTCTCCATCGTTGTGTACAAGCTGGATAAAACGCCGGCTTTTTGTTGTTGTTCAGGAGTTGATCCCGCCCCTGCCCCCGCCCCCGCCTCGACGTAAGCGTGACGTATGTGGTGCTTTTGCTCTGGCCGGACAATTTTTTGGTGCTCGAAATGAACCGGATTCCGGAGCTAAGAGGCTGCTCCGCTGCAGTGTGAACAGGAAAACCCGGTGCTTTTCAAGCTCCAGCTCCGAACCGGCCCCGAAACACCGTTGGTGTGAATGAGGTATTAGTGATGTCACTATGTTCTGGAAGTAAACAAAGAGTCCAATGGAGGTGTTTTAGACAGGGGGGGGGTTTGGGGGATAAACTTTGGGATTTTAGCCTTCGCAGACCATTTACATGCACACACATCTATAGAACTCTCTACAGGAAAGGGAAACCCCAAAAAAGCATAATAATGCTTATGCTTAATATTTTCATTTTTATATTAGCTTATTATCTGAATCTAAAAAGTAACTAGTGATTAAAGTCTCATAACAATGCAGTAAAAGGTATTACGTAGCATAGACTGAAAATACGATTTGAAGTGAGTTGTATGCAAATGTCTCTAAGGTCTGGAATGTACAGTCAGTGTTGCCCTTTTCTCACAACCAGTTGAACCTGGTTGGTTTGCGTATCCGTCGACGGTAAACTCCGTGCCTCCGACAGCTGTTGCAACACTCGGGCTTCTTGTGCTCCAGGCCCCCTCGGTTTGTCTTCCTATCCTACACATTTTCTGCTTGACTGTTTGAAGTTATTGATGACCTTTCTGTTTTCCACATCACTAAACTCTTTCATGCATCAGCGGGCCAGGGCCTGTGGTGCCCAGATCTAATCTGCAATACTCAGCTAGCAGTTAGCACGGCGTCGGAAGTGATGAGTTGATCTGCTCCGTTTGGGTCCCGCTGATTATGGATTCAAACTTGCAGGGGGAGGGGTGGAGGGGGCAGTAAATTGGCATGACTTTTTAACTGATTATTTCCTTCGTTACAAAGTGTAGATATCCATACGATTGATTTAGGAAGCCAGTGTATTATTTTCCCATGTGCAGAGACAAAAAAGGGAACAAAGGGTTTTCAGATAACAGGTCACTGTAACAGATTAATTCAACACAAGCAGGTGTGCAATCTGCAGTTGTGTTTCATATACTACCGAGCTCATTCTTTCATCAGTCTCCTGCTGAGTAGCATCATCGACTGAGACAGATTACTGTCATTTTTCCCTGCCAAAACGACGCACTGAAGGAATGCATTTGAATCAGCCGTTCAAACATTTGATAGCACTAATTAAGTACAAACCTCGCAGATAACGGTTTTGAGTGAAAAACAATTGCTCACATTATCTGGAGTGTAATTTGTTTCTGTTGTCGTAAATTTTTCTGACGTTAATGTCCAAAGTGTTGGAAGCGGCCAGACGCTATCTGTTATAAATTACCACGACGTGTTTGGGGAGGATATAACTCTCATAAATATAAAATGTGATGCACCCTACCCTCCCCCATCTCACAAAAAGCCTGTCCTCTTGACCTGATAAGTGAGTCAGTGGCTGCTCGTGTTGCTCAGGTGTGTGTGTGTTTATGCTCACCCTGCGAGGTCGCTCTGAAAGAGAGTGAGTTCTTGAAGCTGCACAACATCATTTAAGCTGTCTGGGAGAGGCCAGTGGGACAGTGACAAGACAAATTTGTCGGTAATATGAAAGCAAAGAACGTGGCGAGCCATGAAGTGCTCACGGAGCGGCGGCACATCGGGGACAGCGGCGGGTAATGCGGCTGACCTGTCAGTGATTGATACGTCCAGCAGTGGGCTACTGGTAATAGTTCCTGCGGCATTAGGACAGGACATATTTCAGGCCTAAGGGGTGCATATCAGCAGGCCGGTGATTACGGAAACATAAACAGGGGTGCAGTAAAGGTCCCAGCCCGGCGGAACAATAAACTAATAGCGATGTCACTTTCCCCCCACGGCACCACGAGGAGTAACAGCTCGGTTTAAAGAGCCCGGAGCACTAGGGGCCATTTTTTATTTGGGGGGGATGATGGCCTGCAACTGATGTCATTATGAACCTTAAATCAACTTTCTGCTTGCTTGAACATGGTCACCTGGGTGCAGGGGGACAAGGACGGGAAAAGGTTGAAGAGCTCGGCCTGTCGGTGTGCCAGAGCTACCTGCCGAGGTGAAATTGAGTTGGGAGACCGGTGATCAATCAAGTGTCCCAACAACATACATTTTTTAAAGTGCCTGTCCGTGTTTCCCGGCTGTAATGAGCGGAACAGTTGTGTTGAAAAATGGAAAGGGGAAAGATAAACCAATCCGGCATTTAAAGGACGGACAAACTGGGGGACCCGAGGAAGAGGATTTCCAGATCAATGTCATTATGTGTCCCACAGTAATCAGATGGAGAGCATTTCGCCCCAAACACAAAATATAATACCCTCCGAGATGTTTCTGTAATGACATTGTATTGTCATTTATGTGGAATCATGAGCCATAGCTGTTGTTGGGTTTGAAGAGGTTAGGGTTAGGTAGGAGTAGGGAGAGGGACGAGCAATAAAACTAAGGACTAGATCCAGGAGGAGACAGCCTGGTCCCACTCCGTTACCTCTCTCATCAGACCGCTCTATCCGCTGCGGTTTCATCTGAGTAAACAGTGGCGTCGGGGTCACCGGGACTGCTGGGTAATTGAGCCAGTGTGGGCCGCCCTGTCAAGCACATCGGCTAAAAATACATCGCCCACTGTCACCGGGCACCAAGTGGGGGGAAAATGATTGTTCCCACTGTCGGAGCACAGGACACTCGCATCACCGGTGACCTTCCACTTCAAGACCAGCTTTCATAGACACAGAAAAAAAACTTTTACTCCAAAGTTAAAGCATCAAAACAACAATGGATCCTTTGAAAAATGCAATGGCAAATGAGCACTCGGTGGATTAGCATGCTGTAGCACAGAGCGCAATATTAAGCATGTTTAGCCTGTCATGGACGTGCGCTTCGATTAGAGCACATCAAGGCGTTGAAGAGAATACGGGAGAATACAGGCAGGCAGAATGGAGCGGGCGTGTTGAGATATTCCAATGAGGAAAGACGCTCCTTGGAACGTGGAAAGGTTATTGATTTGTCCTGTAATCATTTCCTGCTCTTTGATATGCAAACGATCTAGTGTGAATTTACAGCAATCCTATCAGACTCATTTCACAGTTCTTAGCCCCTGCGTCTCTCCGGAGTCCTCCGCCTCATTAGGCCAATGTTCTCCATTACCAGCATAATTAAAATCTTTAGTAGCTTATCAAATTAAAAATATTTTTTCGCTGATCGTATTGAGATCTTCACCTCACAGTTATTTTCCACAACAGGAATAAATTAAGACTAAGCATTTCGCACACAATGTATGACAATCTGGTGCTTGAAAGGAGCACTTCTGGTATCTATAGAGCTGGTGATGAGAAACGGGGGAGAATGAAGGGGGGGGTGTATAAACCCGAGAAGATAAGCATGTGCAAATCATCTTTCATTTGCCACTGCTCATTTGGAGAATGGATTTAATTAATTGTAATGTTAAACGAGCGGTCTTGCCCATTTGCTCTCTGGTTAAATTCACCTCATATCCGAGGGCTTCTTTCAGCATGCTTGAAACATGTGGTTTATTTAAACACAGATTCGAATACCCCAATACAAATCCACACACATTCACCCTCTTAGATCTTTTAGTGGGCTATTCAAATGTACCCAGATGTTTTGACTGAAAATACAAATAGCTACATAACCGCACCCATGAGGGTTAATCTTATTTTACATATCTCCTCCTTTATGTCGAATGAAAGCAGACTTGTGTAACAGACAGTAAAGATGGACACATATATAATATAACAAAGGCTCTCACAGAGATGAGGTTCACAAACAACAAGCATTATCCTTTATTTATCCCCTTGGTGTCGGAGATTGCTGTCACTCAAACGCAGAAAAAAAAACACGCGCTCTGTAAATGTTTTCAAGCCGACAGAAAAATGTCTTCCGTCTTCAAGGGATTTTTGTTTTGTTCAAAGGGCTGTGCGAGCTGCAGTGTGCTTGACTTGTTAAATGAGGTTTAAGTCTTCTGTGTCAATTGGAGGCGGTGCAGAGCTTTAAGTATTTTGCACATTAATGCGCTTTGGAGAATATTACCCCAGGGTCCTGTTTCTCAAGCAGGCAGGGGTGGGATGTTTTCCGAGCGTTGCTATTGTAAACTTTTCTGTTGTGTATGTTCTGCGTATCTCTTGTTGTCGAGAGAATATGACGGTGATTATTCAGATTTCATGCCTTGTCTGGATGTTAATTATTTACTCTGAGCATGAAATCTGCGTGAATGCCAGGGATTTGTGTATACAAACACGCTCCAGATCACAGGGAGAAATGGGAGGGAGAGAAGGAGGTGGCGGAGAGAAAGAGAGAGGGGGGGTGGTGGGGGGGGAGAGCTCTCAGTGCATTACCCTGTAGTGGAATATTTTCTAATTAATACTCGGCTTTGTTTACAGACGCTTTGATTTAATTAAGTGATGAAGAGGCGAGTTGGATTAGCTGTTAATTGATTTAATTATCCAATTTGTTTGTCTCAGGCATGATTCCAGCAGAGCTCCAGCAGCTGTGGAAGGAGGTTACAAACGCTCACGTGAAGGAGGAGCACAACCACAACAACGGCCACCGGGGTCTCGACCTGTCCTCCCCGGCGCCGCCAAAGAACACCCACCTCAACCATCACGCCTCCTCCAACGGGCAGTACATGAGTCACAAGAGAGAAGCGTGAGTCTCAAAGTATTTGATTTTGTTTTCTGTCTCATCTGTGGTTTTACAATGGGCTTTTGGTTGGAAGCCTGAAATGATGTTCGCGTTTTGTTCCATGACAGAAACACGGTTAGGTTTAGGGTTAGGCAAACACCCCAATACTGAATATCAAAACTTGTACTTTTGGATTCAAAAGTCATTAAAATGTTGTTATTTTGTCAAAGTTGGTTTTGCTAAACAAAACGTCCACACATCTTAAACATGTGTTTGCACCAAAGCTTAATTCCTGCCGGAAAAAAAAATCCCAAAGGCTTTTTGTCGAGGGAACCTGTTCAACACTAACTAACGGGTTGGCCTACAAGAATGTGACATTAACAATGAAGCTTGTGAAACAGTCCTTGATGTGCAATATATTCCCATTTAAAAATAGCTATATGTCTCTAGGCCTTGGCCGATGAACCCTGTTGGTTTTCTCTTAATTCATGGTGTGTAAGTATATTTTTCATTACGGCAAACAGTCACTTTTCTATCAGCCTGGATACAGCAGGGGATATCTCCTACACTACACAGCTTTCATTGCCACCAACTGCACTGTAGCCGTTTTGCATATGACACTCAAACCTTTGAATCCTTTGAATTATTTGTTGGATGCAAATGCAGCTGTACATTTTTGCTTGTAAAGCATTAATATCACAAATCTCTTCTCAGACAGGAAAACCTGTTCTTTGTGAACTTGTTGACATGCAGTATCAACACGATCATCACCTGTCACACCAGGAATGACAAAGACATTACCAGGAACAACAAAGAATGCTAGAAAAACAAACACTGGGTGTATCATATATTTTCAAAACCAGGGTGAATCACGAGCAAAAATGTTTGCGCTCTGGGCTGTGTGTCTGCGTCTTTAAGGAAGGAATTAATTTGGCATCTTACACATTGGCTTGTTTTCTTGCACCAACGCCTGATCTTTGAACTGCTAGTGAGGAGCCTCCAGGCGCCGTGAGCTCACTGCATAACATCTGACTTGTGTTTCAGTGATCAAAAAACCTACGCGTCATTATGAAAGCAATGCCGATGAAAACATGTTTAGTGCAGTAAAGCGGCATGCCTTTGGAGGTGAAGAGGGGCTGTTGGTGAAGGGGGGGGGGTTGTAGAGAGGATCTGAGTGACTTGGAGAGGAAATGCTATGATTCACTGATGGAGAGATACAAAGCGGAAAGCAGCTATTTCATTTCAAGCGGTGATATCAGTTTAACACCAATTCATAATACCTGTAATGACTTATCCTCTTTAATGTTTCAAAGTTATCTTCAAGCACAGGCACTGGAGAAAATAAAATATAAAATGGGCTCCCACAGTTTGACAGCATCCACAGGCTTCCAGCTCTGCATCCACACGGTGGCTGAATGTCTGGGTTTTTTGGTGAAGACAAATCGCGGGGGAGGATATTGATTCGCTCACTCCATCACACATTGTCGCAAACAAGGTGAGCATCGATGGCAGGGGAAAGTCGAGAGGCTGAGGGCTCCATGAAACATCGGAGAAGACATAACGCAAGAGCCGGCAGCCCCCTCTGCCTGGCGCTGTCTGTCAGAGATTAAAGAAGATGTCAACAGCAGTTTAGCACGAGCTTAAGAGAAGAAAGTCGTCTGAATATTCTCGCAGTATCTTAGATCTGTCAGAAAACCAAGCAGGTGATTCTCATCCAGCGCATCTGCTCGAGGAATTTACGGATTACCTACCCAGCCTCCCAATGTGCAATTTGCTAAAGGAAAGAAGACGAAGTGAACACAAAACATTGCTTATTAAATGATGCTAATTTAGATCCACACATGACCAGTAATCCTCTCTCCCACAACTATCAGGAGCATTGTTCCCCCTGCCCGCCTTTTGATGATGCAAACTCAATTCTAATCAGACTCCATGGGAAGAAAAAAAAATGAAATATTATTAAGTGTGGTTATTCTAAGCAAGGCTCTGAGAAAACGTCTGTTATAATCCAGGGATTTGAATAATCAGGTTGAAGATAATGGGCTGGGCCGGCCCGGGCGTAAATAGAGAGCATCCACTCATCCTCCCAGCGCTGAACTTAATGAACTTTTAATTGATGCGGTTTTGCAAGTCCTTTTGTCATGCAACAGAAACAAGCCTCTCTGCTGATGGGCCTGTTTTCCCGACTGGCTTCAGATTGGTTTACAGCAGGCCCTAAGTACCATGTAGTTAGTTTCATGTGTCATATAAAATCTGCCCAGGCACAACGACGCCTGCAACTAAAACCTTAAGTGCATCCACAGGAATCACTCACCGGCTTTGCACTTCCGTCTTAAGGAAGGAGGAGAAATTCAATCACTGCTTGACACACCGAAGACGAGGCGAGCGTTCCTGCTTTGACTTGTCTCAAAAAACACTCTGGCAAAGGCAGGCTGGGATTTCTTTCTGTTTGTCTGAACAACAACCGTGATATGACCAGGGTCTGAGTCACTCAATCTGTCGGCCCGCGTTGCTTCTGCGATGCACAGAACAAGATATACCCCTGTGAGCCAGGTCATCTTTATTCAATGATTTGCTTATTTAAATGAAAATGTGGCTGATCTGTATCTGACACAAATTCCCAATACAGTGCAGCTTTGTGAAGGTGGCGGGTGGGGGTGCGTCGCCACAAAGCGATTGGCCCACTTTGCTTCCCAACAACCATCAGTAACCACAGCTCGGGGACTGTAACACTGCAATCTGTTAAGGAGATAAATAATCAGATTTGGCACAGCACTCCCATCTCTCTTGCCTTTCATTTGTCTTACACCAGAAAAACTGATAATTAAATCATTTAGGGTGAACCATGCCGTGTTACAGAGAAGACAGGAAGGGAAGGATCGGGCCTAGAGAGTTAACAAAGGAGGATTGAGGGGGAGGAAACAAGGGGCTCTGAGACATTTTCTAATATGAACTCCTGACAATATTTGGAGAATCAGGTCCGCGCATTGTCTGGAGTTTCCCTCTTTGACAAGTGACCCAAAACAAGAGATTGTCTGTTTCAGAAGAGTTCTCACTTCGACAGTCTGTAGTTGGGTCATTAACAACAGAAGGTCCATACTTTTATTAATGTGTCTGATGATTTTGGCGTTAGCTCTTTTCAGACAGACATTCCAGAGTCTCGTTTTCTTTCAAGCTAGACATCTTCGTTGGCGTCTTGGTGAAAAACACCCACCTTTTCTCCGCCTTCGATGCTTGTTTTCTTCCGGTTTCAATCCAGCTAATTTATCATGATTGGATCTAGTCATACATGCGCTAAAACGGTCATCAAACCACCTTTGTATGGGGCCTGATGGTAACATCTATTGTCTGATCCTAATGAATAGGACATTTGACCCCTCAAATGCATCTCCTCCTAATGTGTAGATAATTTAAGGGTTGTGTAAAAGGGGCTAAGTAGCAGAGTGAGAGTGTTGTAACTGGCTTCACATGGCCGGACTCTGACCTAGCATGGTGGACATCAATCTTCCTTTTTCTTGCTGATAGATTGAGTCCATCAGCACAGGACGATGCCATAGATCACGACATGTTTATGGCCCAAAGCATCTCATCATCAGAAGAGGTGAACTAGAAATCCAGCTGTCGGAGTCGTTGGTGTCGACACATAAACACAGAGCATCACCTTTCTGTCCGGGTCTATGGGCACTTTAATGTTCCCTCTCCTCTAAAGGAAGCTGATGACACGGTTTTTACTCGTCGCTGTTACAAGATCATTAGGGTGTTCTACCCCCCTGGGCTGCCTGACAAAAATAACATCCTGATCGACCTGTCGTGGCAGTCAAATGTAACGCACGCAGGGAACTGCAGAGCGGTTTTTGTGGGGTATTTTCTCCCTTACATGTTCTCAAATGGGAGAAAACCCCATGAATCCTACACTCTTCTCCTATTACACTAATGTAGCTCATTTGGCGTAAGTTCTGTCATTTACTACTGTTTAGCCATCCACCATTTAAAAGGGCTCTTCTGTCGCCAGCCCCTCGCAGCGCTTTGTGCTCACTGATTCCCAGCGCACTCCACATTTCAATTTCTTATTAATACAGAATTAACCAACAAGCCTGCTCACAAAGAATTAAAAAAAATATCCCTTTAAATTAAAAATCAGCGTTACCTTCAGCAGTCCACAAATGTCCTTGTTAAAAACTCATTATAATAGGCCGGCCCGCCATCTATTTATTAGCTGTATCAAAACAGAGGTCTTAATGTGAATGCATAATTCATAATTGAATTTTTTTTTTAAATCTGACTTTTGAAAGAGGCACAGAAAAAACTGCTAACCACATTCATGAATGCTTGACTGCTTCCTAATTGCAATGCAATTATCACATGTTATGAACAATGCCAACTCCTAAGCAAGTAATTATAACACAAGGAAACTAGTGACGACCTTTAAGATTTCCTACTTGAAGTACATCTCTGCTAACATTGATACAAATGAGATTGTAATCTGAACATCAGCGTGTTGAATCCTGCACGCCACGGTTAGATTACTTTCTGTTCACTTTCAAATCAACTGCTAAAACCATAGCAGATGTGTGATTGGCTAAGCAATGCAAGAAGTATTTATTTTCCCCTCTCTGTCCCTTAATACATCCCCGGAATTAGTAGGAATGTTCTCTTATTGAATATATGTATATGAATGAGATTTTAAGCATTATTCCCACATGACTAAACAATAATGAATCTCCCGATCTGGCTGTTGTACAGAGCAGTGCTCAGACTGCCGGAGATACAGCGGTGTTGTCGCACCAGAAGCACAGGTGGCAGCGATATAGGCCAGTCCCCCAGGCTCTTGTACTCGAAAGTTGTGTGTCTTGTACGATACTGTGTCCATATGGCTGCCTGTCTCGCTCTATCAGCAGACACAGGTCGGTTCTCTCAGCGCTCATCGTGGCTATCCACGGTTCCCAGCCTCTCGCCATATGGAAGATGTTGTAAAGTTTGTTTTTTAGGGAACGTTCCCCTCGCTATTTAGACTGATTGCACCAAGCCATAAGCTCCCTGTAGATGCGCTGCTTGTCAGCCCCTGGTGACATGGAGTGGTCAGTAGATAAATTGATACCAGGCGGGGATGTTTACACTCATGTGAAAAAAACGCCTGATGCTTTTTTTTCTAGTGGGGGTTTCATGTTGTGGTACACACACTCCTCCAGGTGGGCTCCGGGACATGATGCAGCAGGAAAAGCAGCGGCTGAGGAAGCCCCCTAGCAGCCTTGATCAAAGTGAATTGAAACATGGCTCAGTGATACTAAATAATTACATATTGATTTGGTTTCTCTTTCGCAACGTGAGTCCCCTCTTTAAGAGAAGAGCCAGCAGAGATCACACAGGTACTCTGATCCGACACAAGCCAGGTTCACAGATCAAGTCGAAGCCAAAGGTTTTCATGTGGAAACTACATCAGCGCTCACAGGGAGGTGCTAACCAGGCAGCAGCTTAGCAGCAGAAACCTGAGTCTGTGACCCGTTATGTAACTGTTGTTGTCAGAGGTGGAGAGATCGCTTTCTTATAATAAAACAAATCACATTTGACTATATATCGAGATGTTAAGTTTGTCACAGTAGAGGCACAACATACTAATATGAACCTGAACACGAGCAGAAGATGTCCTCTTTTGACTTATCTGTTTAATTCCACTTTTATTTGAAAACTTTACAAATGATTTTAGAATCTAAATCTGTCTCTTTCTGTGACTTGCAGATCCACGCATGAAGACCATTCCCACCACAGCCACCCTCTCTACGGTCATGGAGTTTGCAAATGGCCTGGATGTGAGGCGGTGTTCGACGATTTCTATTCATTCCTAAAGTAAGTAAAAGTCTCTGACCGATGTTTTCTACCGCAGTTTGTTTGTCCACGATTGCATGTTTAGTGACCCCCGGGGACTCCAGGCACTACAGGTGCAGCCGGTTGTTTTTCCTCAGTGCGGTGCCTGTGTGTGCCTGGCCCTCTCTCTGCACTGTGCCGGGGTCTCCTTCTGAGAACCGCATGGGCCTCTAATTCCTGTGATAAGTGCAGTTCCCATGGTGACAGGGGCCGTTTTTCCCAAACAAACAACGGTAGGATGTTTATCTGCAGCAGCCCACACTTAGGGCGCTCTGCATGTTTGCCCTTGTCACTGGACGGACAGATGATTGGTGTGTGTGTGTGTGTGTGTGTGTGTGTGTGTGTGTGTGTGTGTGTGTGTGTGTGTGTGTGTGTGTGTGTGTGTGTGTGTGTGTGTGTGTGTGTGTGTGTGTGTGTGTGTGTGTGTGTGTGTGTGTGTGTGTGTGTGTGTGTGTGTGTGTGTGTGTGTGTGTGTGTGTGTGTGTGTGTGTGTGTGTGTGTGTGTGTGTGTGTGTGTGTGTGTGTGTGTGTGTGTGTGTGTGTGTGTGTGTGTGTGTGTGTGTGTGTGTGTGTGTGTGTGTGTGTGTGTGTGTGTGCCTGGCTCAGCTCTTTCTGTCTTTCTCTCACTGCTTTGTTTGTCTTACTCTCTCCTTTCTCTTTCTAATACTTTACTTCTCAGACTCTTGGTTTACAGTGTTGCTTATTTTATCAAAGGCCCACCACGCTGTGTTCAAGTTAAACATGTACAATAGGAGTCTGAACACTTTGCTATGTCATGAATCATTTCAACAATAATCTGTTGATCTGCAGGACAAGGCAGTGTGGGAAACTATGGCAGTAAAGCGGAGTAAAGTGTTGAAAAGATTAGGAAGTGTTCACATTTGAAAAAACTATAAAAACTGAGACTAATACTACATTTATTTGAATATATAAAGGCAAACCAGATACAAAAGGTAACATGTATTTATACATAGATGTTTCCTAAACAGATTTTAGTACTTCTAAGTCACTTACATACTAACATGCTCAATGAATTAAATAAAATGGTAAACAAATACAAATGGTGCTCGTTACAAAAATGCAGTTCTTAGGTCAAAGCTGTCTTTTTATTTTTTCAAAAACCTACCAATTTCCAAAGTAAATTATGCAACAACAAAAAAATACACAATAAAAACACACAATAATGCAACTTTGACATGTTCTTTAAGATTACCCTCTATGAGAAGCACTATCAAGGTTATTTTGTATTTAAATCGCTTTTAGGAAGTTGTAAATGGATTCAGAGTCTTAGTAGATATGATTCTCCATTTCCCCCTACCCTCATAATGTACCTCAGAAGCCCCCCCCCCCCCCCCATCTCCTCAGAGTGAGCAGGGTAACAGGTTGAACCCTGACACCGGCCCTTTGTTGTCGCCATGTTTCTCCGACTGAGTCACACCGACGCTCCACTGATCATCCTGTGTGCAGGAGGTAATCCAGCACATAACAGCGCCATGGTTACGGAGAGGATGAAAACCTCTGCATTGTGGAAGCAGATCAATGGCTCACTGTCACCCCGGATTAGTCGCACTTTAAACAAGATATGACACAATTCCATTATCCTAAAACAAGCACTCGCAGACAGAGGAAGGTGCAGCGCTCACAGGAAGCACAACGTGCTCTGTCTTTGTCAACATCTGAATCTTCGTTATCGACGTGAGCGGTGGAAAATAACAAAGTACTATTACTACAGTATTTACTACAGTACTTTTACTTTGCTTGAGTATTTCCTGCTTCACTTTATAAGAGAATATTGTAGTTTTTACTCATTTCATTTATTTGAGTTGATTTCAGGTTCATATTATTAACACAAAAATGAAATCAACATGTGAATTATGAAGTACTATTATAGATTAATATACCTGTCAGGTCAATTTAAATGTGTGATTTTAAAATGGGGCATTACGCACAATGAGTCATTTTGGTACTTTAAGAATATACTATACTTTTGTACCTTTACTTAAGTATGCTTTTGTATGCTGCACCTTTACTTGAAACAGAGTATTTAACACTAGTATTTCTACTTTTACTTAAACTGACTACTTTTTCCACCTCTACATAAAATACATTCATCTCAAAGAGAGAAGAGATACCAGATATTAGCTAGTAGCATATTTCCATCTGCAGTCTTTGGGCAGGTGTACTTTTTATAATAATGCTTGTACTTTTACCTATGTAACATTTTGCATGCTAGTCTTTTACTACTCAAAGAGTATTTTAACAATTTAGTGTTGCTATTTTGACTTATAATCCGAGTACTTCTTCCACCTCTGATTGACGTAAATCCACTTTGAGCGCGGTTTTCTTTAGAAAGGAAAGGTTATTCAATCCAGAGCCGTTTCTGTGCAAGAGGAGAAAAGAGTCCGTTTATTTAATAAACATCCTGTGACACGTAGTTATTAAACCACGTATCACACACATATTTCAGCTTAGGGAGCGCCCTCATAAATCCATCACTATTTATTGTATTCTGACATCGCCTCACCCTTTGTTTATAGAAGAGAGGGGAATTAAATTCAGCTCTGCCTTCACAGAAAAGTCTCTAAGTGCACTCTGCCATGTTTTTACAAGTGTTTTATCATGGCAACATCTTGTTTACTTTAGTTGCCTGCTCAAACTGCTTGGAACATGTTAAGAAAACATTTGGGGAGTCTCCACAAAGCTGCCTTTGTTTAACAGCAGGCGAGAGTGCGAGCGGCTCACCAAGGTGTTAACTCTCAAACCCTTAAGCACTTCCACATGAAAAACCAAAAACCAGCAACTGATACTGCGGGCCTCCAAGACACACTGAGAAAATAAAAACAAGAAATACATCAGGCATTAAAATGCTCTTAGAGAAGTCCCTCGGAGAAATGGTGTGTGTGTGTGTGTGTGTGTGTGTGTGTGTGTGTGTGTGTGTGTGTGTGTGTGTGTGTGTGTGTGTGTGTGTGTGTGTGTGTGTGTGTGTGTGTGTGTGTGTGCGTGTGTGTGTGTGTGTGTGTGTGTGTGTGTGTGTGTGTGTGTGTGTGTGTGTGTGTGTGTGTGTGTGTGTGTGTGTGTGTGTGTGTGTGTGTGTGTGTGTGTGTGTGTGTGTGTGTGTGTGTGTGTGTGTGTGTGTGTGTGTGTGTGTGTGTGTGTGTGTGTGTGTGTGTGTGTGTGTGTGTGTGTGTGTGCGTGCGAGCAAAACACTGTGTACCAGAGAAAGGTAAGGACTCTAACGTCAACCAGATTTCAGCTCCGCATGCCAACAGCAACAACTAACACTGGACTGAAATGTTGTTTTAAACTGTGTGTGTGTATTTGTTCTATCTTTTAAAGAAAACATGACATACCTACGTGCAATATCTTGATAAACACAAAAAGCACTGAATCCCTGTTCCTGTTTTACGTGTGGGGGGGGTTCGGTGCACAGAAGGGCGGGGTGCAGTTCATAGCAGAGGCTCGGGTGTTTTTTTACGGGGTCAGGACCCCTTCTCTCGAGCGTCCAGTCAGAGGTCAGAGCCAGGGAAACACTGCAGTGCCCTCTAGTGCCAAACACTCTGCTGAAAGCACAGAAACTCATCTAACACCTCCACACAGACGAATACATGAGAACTGACTCATGCAGAATTTAAAATCTGATTCAGAAATACTTTATTTGTCCCATAGCGGGGACATTTGCATTGTTATACAGCAGAGGGACAGTGCAGGTAAAAAGGCGAAACTAACTTAAGAAAACATATTGGATAAAGAGGTGTGTACATGTTCATAAAATACAAAAAATGCATTCATGGTAAAATGAAGTTAACATATACAAATAATGAGGTAGCAGCCAGTATTAAGGTAAAATATTAAGGAATGGGAAAGTCTGATACTTTCTTTAAAATACATGTGTATAATGTCTATTGCTTCAAAATGGAAATGCGAATACAAAAATGGTCAAAAACATGTATTAGAATACATAGTGTAAAAAGCAGAAAACCTGTAAGAAAATGATACACTTTACATTTTTGATAATAATTTTTTGAAATAATAAGAAACAATGCTTTTTAAATGTAAATACTACTGTAAAGATGGGTGCATTTCATTTAAAATGCCCTTAAACAGTGAGGAAGACAAACCGTCCTCAGAGACAGCTCGAAGCTCTGGGCCCATAATAAATCATTAGAAACTGTAAAAGCAAAGAAAAAGAATTGATAAGCAAACTAACTGATATGTAAAAAGCCCTCTGTTACATGAGTGTCTATTTAGGGAGCTTTATTGTGGCCATTTCCATCTGGGACTGTCATCCTGCCAGAGATCTTTTAAAAAGGGGCTTCATTTGAAGTCCAGAAAGTGACACATGCCAACGTTCATAGCCTCTCTCCGCGTCAACTCCCCCCCGAATCCCCTGCTCCCGTGTCCAGACACTCCTCTCAGGGCTGCATTAGGGCCATTTGAATATTTCATTTCCTATTAATTATGCACTGTGACTCTCCGTGTCATTAGAAGAAATAAAGTGGAATGTAACAAAGGATGAAAAGGAGCGGGGGGGAAACGTCTCCTCTGAACGAGAAATTCCAAAGCTGCTCACGTAGGCCATGCCTTCATTGAAAATGCACTCGGTGCCAGTTAAATTGAAGCCGAAAACATCTTTACCTTTTATTTTCTTCTTTGAAATGTAGTAAGATGTCCTGAGATGTTACCGGTTTCATTTTCTCCGACCTACTTAATTACATTTATTTGACTGAATGGATTGCCTGAATGGATTTAAGTAAAAAAGGAGGGGGTTATTACTCATGCTTTTATTTTAAAATGCCTTCTATTTTTAATTTTGCCACAATAATTAACTTTCAAAGTGCTGTATATCGCAGCACAATAGGAGAACCTTAAAACGAAGGGGGGGGGGGGGGGTGAGCACATTTCCCATAAAAATTTAAATCATTCCCTTCAAGGTTGGAAATACGACAAACCTTCACATTTCAAGCGCAGCGCTATCAATTCTCCCTTCACGTGTGTCTGTTTTCTGACGCACAAATGTGTTATCTGTACATAAAGCAAACGGCGTCGAATTTATAGATCCATCATCGCGCTGCCTTCACAGGTTGACTCTGGCCATCTTTTGATTTGCAGTAAATGACGAGAAAAAGTGCATTTGGAGAAGACGAGCGCACCTCTCCCCCTCCGCCGGCGCCACGCCTGGTGACAGTGACCTACATGGTCACCGAAGATGTGATATAATTTATGATATATATAATATATTGGATCCATTAGCGAGCATAATGAAGTAGTGAAATGAAAGGGTATTTGTGAAATCAGTTCAAACATCCTGCTCGGATTATGATTAAATGATTAATGAAATGCCCCTGCATAAGCATTTTCAAACAGTAATTCATGCGGCGGCTGATAAAATTCCTCCAATCATATTTCCTTCACTCGTGAACCTTATCTCCACCATTTTATATAAATCACAGAAAAAAAGCCCTGTCTGCTACCCCAGCGAGCTACTTATTTAGATTAGTTATAGGAAAAGAGAACATCTCTCCCTGTATGAAATAATCACACATAATTATATCCATAATTCAAGTTGGTGACAGATCCCATCTCCTCGTCCTGTTGTCCTCTGCGTCTCGGCTACTGGAATTCTCTTAATTACACAATTAGCACAAAAATAGGTAAAAATCCAACAAGCCAAAAGAAAGGGGGGAATACATATATATAGCATTAAAAAGCTTTATAACTCTTCAATCACTCCTCTTATCTGTGAGCTTGAAGTATGACATATTAAGTGTTATTCCTGTGTGTTGAGAAGTATTCTGGGTATGCTGATGTTATATGTGAAGTATCATGTCGGTAATAACCCTTAAATGGGCATTCACCTATAAATATTTGAGACAATTAATCGATTACTATTTGTTTCATTACACACACTGTTATAAAACCCATATTTCAGTGTTATTACACCTATATGACACATTAATACACCCCTGTTACACTGTTTTTACACCCATATTACTGCATTATCACACCAATATTACACCCAAGTAACTGCAATATTACACCCCTATTACATCCATGTTACACTGTTATTACACCGTAATTACACTGTTATTCGACCTATATTACAGCCATGTAACACTGTTATTACATTGTTATTACACCGTAATTACATTGTTTTTACACCCATTTTACATATGGGTACAGCCTGCCAAATGACTGTATCTCCCAGGGTACAGAAACCTTTTAAGAGTTAAACCAGCCTTTTTCACATGTGAAAAACTGCAGAAGTCAAACTGACTTTTTCGTCCTGTTTTTGTTTTCCAGGCATCTTAACAATGAGCACGCCCTGGACGACAGGAGCACGGCCCAGTGCCGGGTGCAGATGCAGGTCGTACAACAGCTGGAGCTGCAGGTATTGTCTCTCCGTTTGTTTTGGCCCAAAATATTTATGTGTCTTCTTTCTCCTGACACTTCCTCAGTGTCCGGCAAACTCCCCTCGGCGTCCGCATAGATATCGGTCACGGAGGGTCAGTGGTGTAAAAAAAGAAAAGAAAATAATTTTGTACATTTGCAAGTAACCAGTCATTAAAAATGTGTTATGTATGCATGACAGCCAGGGAAAAAGATATATGAAGGAGCCCGGGGCTAAGTAGAGAAGATAATTACATTTTGAATTTCTCTGGGTTTTAAAGTTATTTATGACTTCTAACTGTTTGGCACCAACAATAAAACACCACTGGGCAGCTGAGTGTGTGTTCGGAGCAGGGAGGTTCTTTTATTTCAGAAAGCGCTTCATAATCAATGCTTTTAATACCGTTATCTTTTCCTGCAAGAAAGATGAATCTGCATGTGTTAGGAATGCACTTATGGAAAGAGTCATTCCATTAGAGTAGGGGGCATAATGACCAGTGCACTTATTTAGTAGATTTACAGGGGGAAAAGACAACCAAAGATCCCATTCAAGTGTATTTTTATTAATTATCTTTTGTCGAGCAAATACAGCTAGAATCACGTTTAATGTATTCCACATTTTAGCAGCCATGTTCACATTCAAACCACATCATGAAGTCAAAATGGACTGTTAATGAGTATTAAAGAGTTCTGCATGTTAACCGTAAACAGTGAGAGTCTCTGTGACGTTACTCCGCACCACCGTGCTGTTTTTCCGCCCCGGTGGTGTTTCATCCAGAGGGATGGAGATGGAGCTTTATCAGACACACACTTCCTCTGCACGCAGCCCCTCACCATAATGTAAGCTGGCAGCTAAGACAGTTTCAGACAGGTAGAAAGGGCCTGGCAGTGAGACCTCGGATGCTTTGTAACCTTGAATTGTGGCTTCCAAAAGTACTTTAAATACAACTGGACCATGTTGCTCACTGTAAAGGACAGTGTGTTTGGAGCTTCCAGTCTTTTTAAAGGGGATTTATATTTGTAATTAATATAGATTTGTGTATCTTATTTTTGTTCAATTCATTGTTATTGATGAAACTGACCTATTAGACGCTACTGTCTATCAAAGTGGAATGATTGTATTCATGATTTGTACTTAACAGACTGGTTTGTCTTGTGTGTCATGCTTAGCTTTCTGTCATTTTGTTCAAGACGTTGCTTTTGTCGGGACCCCCTTGAAAACGACATGGTGCATCTCAAGGGGTATATCCTAATAAATACATTTATATATATATATATATCAAATGTAATGTGCTGTCTGTCCTCATTACAGCTAGCGAAAGACAAAGAGCGTCTGCAAGCGATGATGACGCACCTTCACGTCAAGTCCACGGAGCCCAAAAACACCCCACAGCCGGTGAGCCCTGTCATTCCTCCTCTATCTGTCTCCCCCCCCCCCCCCCCCCCCCCTCCTCCATCCTTTTGTTTGTCTTAATTGGCACACATGTATTCATTAATCCCTTCCTCCATCTTCTTATTTATCTGCTAAATAAAAACAGCTGTTCTCTTGAGGGAGGCAGTAAATATTGTTTCGGAGCACATCTGCTGACATCCGAGATTCAATTTGGAGGCTGTGATGAACTGGAGCTGCTGTAACAGCTTCAGAGAGGCGGAGGGAGGGGAGACGGAAATACAGTCACATCACACGCGCTATCTCTAATAAATACACAAAATATGCTCTTTATTTTGTAGCACTTTGTCAACATTAAAGTACATTTCCAGCTTGATAACGTCAAATGACAGGAACATTTATTATATTATTATACCTATCTTATTTGAACAAAAATTCAATTACAAAGCATACTCCTCTAAAAACAATTGAATACTCATATACAGTTAAAAAACAAAAAAAAACACCATTAGCATTGTTTAAAAGATATGTAATATTAACCTAATGTGTGTTTTTATGCGTCATTGTTTTTCTCATAATCTTTTATCTAAAAGGCTGGTTGAGTGAACTAAGTGTACGAACATATATCTTGCAGGATGAGATGATAAAACAAAATGTTTTACTTAAATAAGTCAATTTAACAACTTACAGACAACAAATGACTCAGTATGAACTGTTTTGATTATTAATGGATGTTAACTTCATGCAAAATAGTAGAAAATGCTGTTCCAGCCCCTCAAGTATTGACATGTGTTGCTTTAGATTGGTTTAATATCACGTTAAAGTCAATATCTTTGGTTTTTAACTGACATTTTATAGACCAAACGATTAGGAAACAGAGAAAATAATCTGCAGATGAATCAACAGTATAATGGTAGCCCTGTTGGTGTTACCCCTGCATTCCCTGCAAGTGAACCACATATTCTGAATAAACGTACAAGCAGATCCATTTATTTTCTCCTTGTCACATTGCTCACATCATGCTTATCACTCTTAATATACGCCACGCCATAAAGCCTGCTGACTAATCCCCATCCTATAGGGGCGAGGGCTTAACATATGGCATGTAAGTGTCTGCGCTATTTTGTCATGTTTAAGAAGAAGGGGGCCTCAGCACCGCCATCAGTTAGTCTGCATGACAGTGATCATTATACTGCAGGGTGTGAATCTCAAACCACACACATGCACAGGAGGAGTCCTTTACAGTCAGAGAGGGGATGGGGACGACAAAAGGCTGCCTGTTGAAGCTGTGTCACACACGCTGATGCTGTAGATTAGAGTGCAGAACGAGGGGCTCTGACACGGGGGACATTTGTATATGAAAAGTGGGCCGGAGCGGCAGATAGCATCTTGAGTTCACTCCCTCTCCTCCCCCCCAGCGTTCTCACTCTCAAGGGGGCAAGCTGGGGTTTGTATTCAAATAAATAGACTCCCCTTTTGCCTGCTGCTGCGAGCTGCCCCTGAAATGCTATGATAAATATGTCTGGGTGAGCGGCGGACTCTCGCAGGTCAGGGCCTCCGTGGGGTTTTAGTGAGATTGCAGGAGCACCAAAGAAAAAGAGAACGCCTGCTTTGAATAAAAATGTCCTCTGAAGGAAGCAGCTCTGAAGAAACAATTGTGTTCTTCCAGTAATTGCTGCTTTCCTGCCGTTTCTGCGTTTAATACAGCCGTGTATAAGTAGCCAACTGTCATAGCAGAGTAGCTGGTTTCCATGTACTCATAATTAAAGACAAACAAAGTGATACTGTGCATGCACGCCGTCAAATGAATGGGATTCATTTTTGTTCTTCTGAGGTGGACGGGGAAGCGGGGGAAGATCAAAACAAAATGTGCCACATTAGCATTGCGTGTTCCTGTGTGTGTGTGTGTGTGTGTGTGTGTGTGTGTGTGTGTATGTGTGTGTGTGTGTGTATTTGCCTGTGTGTGTGTGTGTGTGTGTGTGTGTGTGTGTGTGTGTGTGTGTGTGTGTATTTGCCTGTGTGTGTGTTTGTATTTGCCTGTGAGTGTGGGTGTGTGGGTGTCTGCACTCGGTGTCACTAAGCATTCTTGTCAGAAATCTGACCTTTTATGCCATACATAATTAAGGAGGGACTTTTTGTTTATTTTCTTTAGCAGCTTGCCGAGTCAAAGCCAGTATAATTAGATCACCAATTACCATTTAATTAATTTCAGTCTGAAGTCTCATTTTGTCCACGCACTGGAGTGAGCCCAAATGGCGAGGCAAACAAAGGCGAGGCTATTACCAGCCTGTCTGGCCTATTGTTGAAGCCTCTCTGTGTTTATGGCCAGGGAATATGGATGAAACATGAAACAAAGCCCGCTAATCCACAGGAAGAGAAGTCAACACCGCAAAGCCCCGTTCTATTGATAGCATTGTGTCAGAAACACGCGAGCCCAAGTGTGATTTATTTAGTCCGTGATTTAGAATAACACGTCTCCTGCTACTGTTGCTGAGGATGGAGCGTCTGTGCGTCCCAGCAGTAATCCAAATGATTTGGGCCGACTCTGCCAGAAAGCTGCCGTTCAGGAACTGGACACACGTCTGTTAAAGAGGGATTTGAGAAAACACAATTCACTCATTATAGTTGGAGCAGTTGCAACTTCATCGTTCATTAAGGTATTTCATGTGACGTAAAAAGTTTTATAGATTTTTTTATTCAAAACTGTCAGAAAATGCCATTTTTAGCCATTACAAGTTCATTGTTTTGATTTTATATCAGAATAAATTGAATATATTTAAGGTTTGGCTGACAAATCATGACATTTAAAGCTGATCTTTGAGAAACTTGGATGGACATTTTTCATTAATTGTACTATAAAAATTACTTTTGAAATGATATAATATATATATATTATACACTCAAATATTAATATATAATTCTAGAAAATCATTGGCACAATAATCGTTAATGAGAATAATTGTTAGTTGCAAAATATAAGGAAATAAATGACATCCCTTCCGCCTGAGATCTGCTATTTCTTATGTTAAATATACCTGTTGCTAATGAGTGCTAATATGAATATTAATAAGGTCATAGACGTCTTGAGCACCAATCAGACTCGTAATCAACACATGACGTCAGAGATGAGTCGTGTCCTCCCAACACTCCGCATCCTCTTCCTCACAGTCTGAAGTCATGTTTCATTTGGATGCTGGCCTCCTTCGGCAAATTAGCAATTAGAACAATTTTGCGGGAATATGTATATGTGTCATTAGTTTTCCTGCCAATTAATGGGGGGGGGGGGGTCAGGCTTGAATTTTCCACTTGACTTGACTGCAGTGTGTGGAGGCAGCTGCTGGAAGCCATGCTGTACCTTACGGAGACATAATTAGTTAACCTTGTAGCCATTATTACTTAAGTCCCGCCTTCTCCTTTATTCAAAACACACACAGGCCTCCGTGGGTAAAGCAAATATTCTCTGTCCATCGTCTTCTCCACGGCCCGGTGATGGAGGTCATTTAGAGACAGCAGTTAATCATCAGATCACCTCCATAAGCAGCTCCTAATTAGAGTCCTCACAATACAATCCCAGCTCGTAATTAGCCCAGATTGGCTTCCTCCTCTGGCTGCCTTATTAGCGGGGCGGCTCAGCGGTAGGTAGGGAGGTGAGAATCGTTTTTCACAGCCATTACGTCTTCTCTGCTCCAAACCTTCACCGGTGGTCACCAAGCCGCGGACCCCAAACACAGGACAAGAGGGACACATTCAAGGATGCAAGGCTTTTATTGTCATGTGTAGATAGCTACAGTGTAGTTATGACAATGACATTCTTAGGTCACAAGCTCCTCCAACACTGCAACACAGTAAAACAGATAATAGTGCAAGTCAATAAAATAACATAAAATATAATAGAAATTGTGCAGAATAGTCTATATACAAGTAATTGGAATATTGATATATATAAATTGCAAACAGATGAATGTTATGGATGATCTTTCAAAAGCTCAGGTGAAGCTGGGAATCAGAGAGCAGAGCGGGAAGAATGTCGGAGGCTGGAGGGTTGTTTCCCAAACGTTCATGGATCATCTCTGCGATAACAGAGGAGATCTGCTCAGCCAATGAGGCGACGGAGCTCACGAGAGGTCTAACTCCTGTCTGCGTTTGTTTTCCATCTTCCAGCTCAACTTGGTGTCCAACGTCACACTGTCCAAGTCGGCCCACTCAGCCTCGCCCCCCCTCAGCCTGCCCCAGACCCCCACCACCCCCACGGCCCCCCTCACACCGCTGTCCCAGACCCACTCCGTCATCACCGCCAACAGCCTCCACGGCGTGGGCCCCATGCGGCGGCGCTACTCAGACAAATACAACATGCCCATCTCTCCAGGTACAGTGCACACACTTGTTTTATGATCATTAGCATGCTTCTTAGGTAACATGAAGCTCGTTTTCTGCTGTAACAATGTACATGTCCCCTCTGTGGGACTAATGAAGCTATTCTGATTCTCATTCTGACACATATAGATATTGTATCTGTAAATTCGAGCTGCAACCATGCATCAATTGTAGCTAATGTATTAATAGTTCAAGTCCATTTGTATGAAAACATTTCAGGTAATGCTGTTTTAGCTTCTCTTAAATGTATACTTCCTTCTTTACTCTATTTCATATCATATTAAAGTGAATATATTTGTACAAAACATGAAAACATGACATATAAAGAAGTCACCGTGGACTTCGAGACACTAGGAGGGACATTTTATTGCTGTTTTCATTATTTGTTGAAGACCAAAGGATGACAATTATCACAATAATGGATAATAAAAATGTGAGTGTTAATAGAAATATTAAATTGAAATCCACCTTGAAATCAACAAATGATGAGACGTGTCCTCCTCACACAATGTCTTCCTTTTTCAAGACCTTTAAGGCGGCTGGGATGGATGTTTCACTATTCTGGACCAAATGATTGTTCAGGAAAATGATAGGCAGATGAGTTGCAGCCCTACATTATACACACATACAGTAGACACCTGTGATCATGCTAATATGTGCATTATCATCCACTGATGGGACATTCCTGTTGACACTTGCTCATTGTATTCCATGCTTCCTTCCCTGTGTGCAGATCTCAGTCAGAACAAAGAGTTTTACATGAATGCAGAGGTTAGACCGCCGTTCACGTACGCTTCGCTAATAAGACAGGTGAGCTTGTGCTTTCTTTTTAAAGTGTTGTATTCTTAACATCCTCCACCCCGCTTAGAAACACAGCTATTCAAGAAAACTACATTTGTTGGATTTATTTCTCTCCTTGTTAAAATGCAATTTAGACAGAGGGGCAGATTACCCATCTTCAAATGAGAGCATTTCAAGAAAAAACAGCCATATATGGCAATTGCATTTGATTAAGCAATTCTGTGATTATTACCAAATTCATTTCACACAACAGTAGGGATGGACCTGTTTTAAGATGGCCAGTCAATTATCGCCGGGCCGCAGTAATCTGGGATCTCAGAAATTAATCTGAGCCATAATTGCTGCCCTGTAATCTGCCTGAGAAATGTTTTCCACTATCCCTTCATTTACCCACAAAGGAACAATATATTCATATCTGCAGTTATTGACTGTGCATGAGACTTCTCAGCACTTTTACACAGCTTGTTTCCTTTCTGTTTGTCTGTTTTCCTCAAGAGAACACACACAAACCTGAATTATTGATCACTTTGTGACGGGAGCAAGATGCTCAATGTTTGCTTCTGTCGCTGTTCCCTCATCCAGGCAATCCTCGAATCTCCAGAAAAGCAGCTAACACTAAACGAAGTCTACAACTGGTTCACGCGAATGTTTGCATATTTTAGACGCAACGCAGCGACGTGGAAGGTAATTTGACTTTTCCTCCCGACTTCCTTACACCAGACAGACCGAGAGAAGGAGACATTGTGTTCGTGTTGTGGAGAATTAAATGATATCCAGCGCCCTAATGTCCTTTACCAGAAGCCTTACAATGCTCCACTTTATTCTGTCCAAATGACCCACCCTTTAAACCAACAAAGGAAACCACATAGAAAAACCAAAGAGCAGGAATATGTGCATTCTTGTGAAAAGAAAAGAGGGGAAAATAGAGAGAAAGAGGGGGGGGGGGGAGAAAAGAAGTCTCCCTGTAATATGTTGGGATGTTCTGGTGGTGGGTGGCATTAGTTTAACACAGCAGCGCTCTGCCAGTGACTCCTGGCTGAGCCTCTCACACACACTTCAGAAGGAACACTCTGTTTCTGCCAGGCCACACACACACACACACACACACACTCACACACACACACACACACACATATATACACACACACACACACACACACACACAAAATAAAACAACAACTTAACAAATACCAGGAATGAGTGGATTTAAAGTGACAGAAGTCAGATTTGTTGTCTATATTCCATAAAAAGACTTTAGTCCGTGCAGCTTTCAGAACAGGAATTATTGCTGAGTATTTCCACTTGTGTCATATTTGTTTGACTTTGGGAACACAGCCTGCCTCCTCCCTCCTTCAAACACCCCTCTTGAGAAAGTTTGTGTCGCAATATGTGCACACATCTAAACACATGTTGATATAAACGTCTTGAAAGTAAGTGTGTTCCTCTTTAAGAACAGAAATGCAGGCTTTACCTTTGGTCGTGCATCTCTCGGTGGTTTGTACACAAAGCACAGAACTGGCTGTAAACAGGCTGTGTATTCAAAATACGCAAAGCCTTGTCTTGAAAGCTGAATAATGTAATAACATCCCACATGTCTAAATAGTATTACACCAAAGTAACATTCTGAATAATAATAGATTTAAAATATGATAACAGAATATGCTGATCACACATATCAAATTGTAAATACTGGCATATTCTTAATAAAAGGTGAATACTACACTCGGAAAAATAAAACGTTTTAAAAACTTTATTTAAATGTATTTTGTGAACAGGTTCCACCTAATACATTAATAAACAATTACATCTTAAAGGTTTACAAAATACATTTAATTAAGGTCCACTTTTTTTTGGAGCGTAGTGCCCATGTTAAACAGTCAGTGATACAGCTCTTTGAAGTCTAAGCTAACACACACACACACACACACACACACACACACACACACACACACACACACACACACTACCAGCAGCCTGCTCTCACACTCGCTGACAGTCCTTCCATAGGGGCACATCGTGTGTTACAGCCACTGGATTCCACAGCTCTCTCTCTCTCACACACACACACACACACACACACACACACACACACACACACACACACACACACACACACACACACACACACACACACACACACACACACACACACACACACACACACACACACACACATTGTAAAGGGGAAATTACCAGAACCTTTTTCTAGTCGGTGAAAATCCTCTGAATAAAGTGTTGAGTTTCTCTATCTCTCTGATCAGAAAGGGGCACTTAAGAAAGAAGGATGTCATTAACTCTATCGCCATGGATACTGATAAATATTATGTTGTTTAAGTCATTTGAAACTTCAGGGCCGTTTCCTGCCAATAACACTGTGGTGTATTTATTGTTTTCCTTCAGGTTTCATCCAGAAAAGATGTCCTCTTTGATATTTCTCCTCCCATGCAGTTTCCTGTACTGATAGCAACCTCTGTTTCTCTCTCCTGTCTTCCTGTTTGACACCAACTGCAGAACGCAGTCCGGCATAATCTTAGTCTTCACAAGTGTTTTGTGCGAGTAGAAAACGTAAAAGGGGCTGTGTGGACAGTCGACGAACTAGAGTTCCAAAAGAGACGGCCTCAAAAGATCAGTGGGTAGGTTGTGGTCCTCCAGCCTCCACCTAGCGTCTGTCTCTATGGAAACGCTCCATCTCATGTCATCTGTGTGCCGTAACGTCCGCTTGCTTTGGCCCCCCCATGGTGATGCCTCATAACCCACAATGGCTTTCATTTTGACCCTCTCCCCTTTCCTGTGTCTTGTCTATCTGTCTGTCTCGTCAATCACTGCATCTGCATCTGGCCGCCTCCCCCCACCCTCCCCTCCTCGCCTCCCTTCCTGCTGCTGCTGGTTTGCTTTCCCAGGGTGCCGTGCGCACCAACCTTTCCCTGCATAAGTGCTTTGTGAGAGTAGAGGATGAGTGTGGGTCCTTTTGGACCGTTGATGATGGGGAGTTTAAGCGCGGCCGCCACATTCAGAGAGGCCGGCCTCGGAAACACGCCGCTGACGAGAACTTTGACGTACAGTAAGCACCTCCGCCTGCCAAACTCCAGAGGCCCCGTCCCCGCTTGCATGCCCCCCCTCCCTCCTCTCAGTGTTGCCATCATGCTTTTTTTGTGTGTTCATGTATCATGCTTTGCCTCCATCAATTCCATTTTCTCAAAGACAGTTGTGTGGTATTGTCAAGTGATTGAACATCTTAAAAGCTACATTACTACACCAGTAAATGTATTTAGTACTTATACAAAGTGCATTGATTTCCTCTTATGAAATAAGATACCGTAGCAGAGGAATGCATGCTAGGTGAGACACGAGTCTGTGGTTGTAATTGGATTTTTCTCTCTGCAGAAGTCCCAACTTAGTGAAGAACATTCAGACCAGCCTGGGCTACGGTCCCACCCTCTCTGCTGCCTTCCAGGTAAACACAGCACTGACCTCATCCTCAGCTGCTCAGAGAACTCAGATCATTTACTGTAGTTACACTGTACAGAAACTTGAGTAAAAGTGTATATCAGTTGGAATACATATATATGATGTTTTTGGATTATTATCTATGCTGCATTAATGCAAATATTGCATTTTACGGGTTAACATTTCTGTGATGTTCTTTTTTTAGCTCCTATTTAAAAATGAGGGTAGTTTTTTGTCTAGATAACCCATTACATACTATAAGATCATCATATATATTATAAATATATGAGTTTCTCCCTGATTTAACACAGATTATATAAAATAACATTAGCTGACAATGAACCTTATTGTCCTGCAATTATAAACTTACTAAAATAAACTTGTGTAAGTAATATCTGCAGATTTCACTTCAGAATATGAAGGTACAAGTACATGGTATTTGTAAATTAGATACTAACATCAACTTAATTGTCATTAAAAAGAGTCCTGAGACCAAAACATGCAGTTTATCACCTGACCAGAAGTAGAGCTAAAAGTTGTATAGTGCTATTATTACATACGTTTAGGTATAAATAATGAGATATAATCATATGCAGTGAGGTATATAATGTACAGTACTTGTAAATGTACATACCACCACTGTGCCTCACTCAGAACTCAAAACATTATGAAGGAGAACAAAATCTCCTCTGTTTTTGAAGGGGGTGTGAAAGAAGTGATGGGCGGCTGAGAAAGTGCTGACAAGCCTCTTCCGCTTCACATTCTAATGCCCCGGGCTTTGCTTTTCAGGCTTCAATGGCAGAAAACAACATACCTCTATACACTACTGGTTCCATTGGGAGTCCCACCCTCCACTCGCTGGCGCACGCCTTCCGCGAGGAGATGAACGGGGCGATGGACCATGGAAACAGCAACGGCAGCGACAGCAGCCCGGGACGCTCGCCCCTGCCAGCTATGTGAGTGGCACCCCCAACCTGCCCCCCCTCCGTGTGTGTGTGTGTGTGTGTGTGTGTGTGTGTGTGTGTGTGTGTGTGTGTGTGTGTGTGTGTGTGTGTGTGTGTGTGTGTGTGTGTGTGTGTGTGTGTGTGTGTGTGTGTGTGTGTGTGTGTGTGTGTGTGTGTGTGTGTGTGTGTGTGTGTGTGTGTGTGTGTGTGTGTGTGTGTGTGTGTGTGTGTGTGTGTGTGTGTGTGTGTGTGTGTGTGTGTGTGTGTGTGTGTGTGTGTGTGTGTGTGTGTGTGTGTGTGTGTGTGTGTGTGTGTGTGTGTGTGTGTGTGTGTGTGTGGGTCACGGCCAGAGCTGCAGCCGGCCGCCCCGCTGAAAGAGGAAACTCCACCTTTTAGGAAAGGAAGAAAAGCCCCTGTGTTATTTTAACAATGGGTTGATGAACTCTCCTCTATGTGTCCTGCCGTCTGGTTCAGGCTCAACATAATTCCAATATGTCTTCAATGTTTTTTAGACGATCACCAGAAAAGTAATTGGAAGCTTTTTTTGCTAACCTGTTAATCGTTAAAGTCCTTTATCTTTCTTAAATGTCAGGAAATGCCATTTCTAATTGCTCAAATATGAATATTTCTTGCTTTTCTGTATTTTATCCCATAATCAAGCGAATATATTTGGGTTTCGGACTGAGAAAAAAGACATTTGAAGAAACTAGAAGGGATATTTGTACTATATTTAACCCAAATGATTAATCAATTAATCAAGAAAAGAATAGGCAGATACGCTGCAGCTCTATTTGTTTTATCATTCACTGACAACAAGACATTCCTGTTGATGATTTGATTCCATGTTTGAAAGAAAAGGAAGGTAAGCCCCTTAGTTATTTAAACAGCGAGTTTATGAACTCTCCTTTATGTGTCAGTCTGAGTCCGGCCATGATTCCAATTTGTTAAAATATTTACAAAATGCCAGAGCGCAGAGAGACAGAGCTGCTGGCTCCGACACAATCGTAAACGCCTCGGAGACGCCGAAACAGAACAACAACACAAAAGCGTAATTAGTCTGGAGGACATCGTCCAAGATTCTCGTGTAGGAAAGTTGCGGTCGGCGTGGAAACCGCAGCTCCCCGTTCACTTGTTGTATAGGAGTGTCTGCTAAGTAGTTTGAAGCCTAAAATAACACAGCGCACGCCGCATCGTTTCCAGATGTGGGCGCAGACCACCGGCTCGGGGATGGCCTCCTGAAACGTCTGAGCTTTAGGGGAAATTGTGCCTGAAAACAAAAAAAGGTGCAGTAATGAGCTCCTGGCCAAATGGAGGGAAGTGCCATCCCTAATCACTGAGAACATAGCTGGGAGCGTGGCTGTGGAGCAGGAAAGCAGAGACAGGATGGGTGTGTGGGCCCTGAAGGCACCACGCTCCTCCCTCTGCCCCTCCGTGCTGTCTTCAGGCAGCTCACACACACATCCATAATTATGTATATAAGCTTAATGCAAGCACAAAATGAGTTAAACCTGTTTTATTTAGCTTTTTAAGAACTTTATTCTCTTATTACTAAAACATACCCGCTTTATATGTTATATAGAGTCAGTGGTGGAATGTAATACATTGACTGTGAAGTGCTGTACTTAAGCTAAAACTTGAGGTACTAGTACTGTGCATTTAGTACTTTTATATGTATTGCCTCCTAATACTCCACTACATCTTAGAGACACATATTCTACTTTATACACCTACTCTTATGCTCTACTCCCTACTTCTCAAATCAAATATTTGCACAGCATTCCTGTGCAGTGCAAAATGAGAAACTTACAACAAATTAATTAAGGTTCATTGTATGTTAATGTGTTAGTATTTAATATGTATAGCATCAGCTGGAAAATGTGACAGCTTGCTGAAAAACCAGGTATTTTTCCTGAGAAATTCAGAAAAAAGTAGAATTTTCACAAACATATCCTTTATTTAACCCGGTAAAAGTCTCGTTGAGATTAAACATCTATTTTTCAAGAGTGAACAAAACATATTGATGATGCCTTGCTATAGAATAAACAACCCAACAGTGTATGAGGAGATGAAATGAGAGCAACCATACAGAGGTAAGGCTGTAAAAACCTGACAATGCTTTATTGTTATGAAATTTAACTTAGGTCTGAATGCAAGACTTTAAGTTGTAGAGTATTTACACAGTACTTATACTTGAGTAAAGGTTATGATTACTTCCTCCAACACTGCACACAGTAGCACCATAACTCATGACCATGATGCCCTGGCTCACACACTTCCAAACACACGTCCATGCCGCTGCTCACCGTGTCCCAACATGTGTTTTCCACGTGTGTGCCAGCCGCCTGACGCAGCTTCTAAACGCCAACAGAAACCAGAGCACTTCAGACGAGAATCCACAGAAAGCTAATTATGAGCAAAGTGTGGAATCAGCATGCAGTTCAATAGCATAATAATAACAATTTCATGTGTGCCCCGCAGCCACAGGCAGACCTGAGGCACTTGTGGAGTTACTTTGATGTGAAACTGATAGAAAAGCTGACTTTACTTTCCCCCCAACCTCTTTATAATTCACACAAAAGTATGTCAGTTAGCTCGTTAGCATACGACACAATCGTTGTAAATGACTTAGCAGTGTGGATGAATCAAATGCTATGCTCCGGTGTTAGGGTTAGGTTTCAATGGCGTTATATTTACAATAAAACAAGTTCCCAGCAGCCACAGAGGCAGACCTGAAGCACTTGTGGAGTGAATTTGATAGAAAAGCTAACTTTATCTTTTCAACCTTCATCCTTTGTCAGTTAGCTCATTAGCATACAACACAATCGTTGTAAGTGACACGCACCGACCCGGTTTGGATCAACGAATGCTAGGACACTTCGTAGGGTTACTTGTGGATTTATTTAGAATTTTTTAAAAAGCTGACTTTTCCCCCCTTCCTTTTTTTGTAAAACTCTAATCAAAATATGTCAATTAGCCTGTTAGCATACAACACAAGATGTGACACACGCCGACCCGGTTTGGATCGATCAAATGCTAGGACACTTTGTAGGGTTACTTGTGGATTTATTTAGATTTTTTTTAAAAGCTGACTTTACTTTTTCCCCCCTTCTTTTTTTTTTTAAACTCAATCAAAACATGTCAGTTAGCTTGTTAGCATACGACAAAAAAAGGTTGCAAATCCCACAAGACGTCCCGGTGTGAACAAATCAAATGCTAGGCTCCGGTGATGAAGAACGCTGTCCCTTGTTGGGGTAGTAAATGAGCGTGGTGCTTTATCCTGACACCGCTCTACCTCCACCTCTCCTCCTGGCACCTCTCTACCTCCACCTCTCCTCCTGGCACCTCTCTACCTCCACCTCTCCTCCTGGCACCTCTCTACCTCCACCTCTCCTCCTGGCACCTCTCTACCTCCACCTCTCCTCCTGGCACCTCTCTACCTCCACCTCTCCTCCTGGCACCTCTCTACCTCCACCTCTCCTCCTGGCACCTCTCTACCTCCACCTCTCCTCCTGGCACCTCTCTACCTCCACCTCTCCTCCTGGCACCTCTCTACCTCCACCTCTCGCGGGTTAGAGCGCCACATCCCCTGCAGCTTTTCATAACGTGTTTTTGTCCTGCTTTCTGCCACCGCCAGGCCTCCTCTCCCCCCTCCTGCTCTGTTTCGTGTAATGAAAAATTTGGCAGATCTCATCTCTTTAGTGGCTCTTTTGCCCAGGCTGTGAGCTGTAAAAGGAATGGGGGGGGGGGGGCTCATGTTTTTGCCTTGTTTACAAGTGACAGCGTTATTATTCTCATAAGGGCTCTGTTTCTTATCGCCGTGTTGTGCCGAATGCGCCTCTCCTGCCAGCGCTTTTCTTCCCGCGTATTGACACTCGCTTGAAAATATGCATTAATTCTGGAGTTTAGAGCGCCGGTGTCTGGTCGCTGTGTTTGCTTGAAGTTGATTAATGATAGAAGCCGGCGCGGGGTCGTCCTCTGGAGACCCGCCTCGCAGGTTGTGCATGTTAACGAGCAGGAAGGGGAACACACAGCGCGCCACTGATCCTCCGCCACCAGGAGGCTGACAACGGCCGACTCCATTCTCTCCTGCGCTCCACTCACGCTGTTAATCTTCCTCATTTATCAATTCTAAGTGAATACCCTGTTGTCGCTTGCCACAAAAAGCCAGCAGCTTTTTACCGGGATGGGACTACCTCAAAAGAAAATTATCACGAGCACCAGCGAGGCTCTCAGTGAAGCCAGACGTTTGTTTTTGTTCCCCTGTTTCCTCCTCTATAAACAGAATCAGGTCTCTGTCGTTTTGAAGGGTTATTAAACAAAAAGAATTGGAGCCATATCTTCTCTCTGCTCTTCCTCCTGCAGGCATCACATTAAGGAGGAACCACTGGACCCAGAAGACCACGAAGGGCCCCTCTCCCTGGTAACGACCGCCAATCACAGTCCGGATTTCGATCACCATAGAGACTACGACGACGAACAGGGCCACGACGACATGCTGTAAGGCTAGCAGGGGCCCCACCTCCCACCACCCCCCCAACCCTCCATCCTCCCCGGGGCCTCAGAGGCAGTCTGGGTAATCTGGGAGACAGAAAAAAACGCTCGGCAGATAACAAAAACTGAACTGCAGTCTCAGCGCTCAAGTGTCTCCCAGTTCACTTTTTTAGTGCCATTACAAAACACACACACTTTTTTTTCCTGATTTAGTTCTACTTCTGATTTAAAAGCTTAAAAAGTGAAACTTCATTTCTACTCCTGTGTGGGATGGACTCCTTTGGTACGGGGGCGATGCGTTCAGGGTCAGAGACCTTTATTCGCCGCGCAGCCAGGACGGACTGCACTCAGCGGACTGCAAGAGGGGGTCGTCTCCCCCCTTTTCTCTCTCCCTCTCTCACACATCTGACCACAGACTCACACACAGAGAGAGAGAGAGTGACTGACGTTTAATTTACACAGTGTGTGTGTAAACAACTTGTGTTCATTGTCACTGCCTTCAACACTTCTCATCGCTTTGATTCCATCGGGTGGGTTTTTATTCGGGTGTTTTTGTTGTTTTTATTGTCGGGAGGGGGGGTAAGATGTTCTAAAATATCAACATGATGTGTCTTTTTCCATTTTCAATGTTCCTTTTTCTTTAAACTGATCAGACCTCATGCCCATGCTGTGGAGATTGTGTGTGGTCAGCACTTGATGATGAATGTTTATGATTTTTTTCTCTTCTTTAAATACACACACATGAAGCCGAATGTCACGAACCGAGTAGTATTTTTCTGTCATTTATTCCACGAATCTTCAAAAAAAAAGAAAAAGGGGAAAGAAAACTCCGATGTGTAGCCCGCCCCTCCCCCCACCTGCTCATGAAGTCCATTGGCAATGCACTACTCGTAATGAAGGCTCTCTCCACGCATCAATGAAGTTTAATTTAAGATGCGAATGAATGACAGAGAAATCATGCAGGTTATGATTTATCCTTATGGAATTACACTTTAAAACAGCCCCTCACGGCAGAGCGTGACGAGCCGCAACACCATTTCTGATCACTTACCAGTTTTTCTTTTTTTTATACAAAGCAGGATGGAAATGTCAGGTGTGCGCCGGAGAGATAATGATTTAGACCAACTAATTGTGATTCCTGAACACAACCTGCCATTGTTAATCAGACATGTCTTTTTTTCCACGCTGTAATTCCATTCAGTGCTTGATGATAAACGTGCATTCCCTGTAGTTTTATTTGTATCCCGCGCATGACCAGTTTCAGTGAGGATGAAATGTTCATTTTTTATCAAATGTAGAATTTCCAAGACTTGCAATAAGACCCAAACGTCGCACATTCCAGCATTTTGACAGCTATCGTAAAGGGCCCAAACATACAGTACATGCCATTTATTTTAAATGTGGATACTTTGATGTTCAATGTCACCCAAAAATTGTTGTAATCCGCAGCATTGAATCAATTCCTCATTGTGATGCAGCGATTTCAGCTTAGGTAGATCTCTACTAGACCATGAATTTCAAGACTGCAATCAACCACTTTTTATTTATTATTATAATTTTTCTTTGGTTTATTTTTTCTTTCTGTTGATGTGTTTAATATCTTGTTCTGTGACTACCAAAGATAAACTACAAAGTCAATGTTGTGTGTTCCATGCAATATCAGATAAGGCCAAATATCTCTCCTCTAGAAAGAATCAATGAGGGGGGGGGGATGCTCTTCAAACTGGTGTTTCCTTCATTTATTATTAAAAACCAAAGGGGTGTGAAGAAAAGGGACGGCTGCAGTAATGTTTGCAGTGACCAAAACGGAGCGGGGCGATGACCAAATTAGGAAAAACGTTAGTCTTTTTGGGCCAGTGAGAGGAAAAAGGGAGCGTTTCGGTGAGGAGATTTCAACATAGAGGGTAAAATCGACGAGGAAAAATAAACCGGTAAATGGAAAAAGCTTTGCTAGGGAACAATGTGAAACAGATACTTCAACTGGACCATGCTATGATTCTCTTTTCTTTATTTTGTATCCTTTGAAATGATTGTAAGCCACTTTTTCGGGGGGTTTTAAGCATATTTTTGGCTATGATTGTGTTCAGTTTCTTATTACTTTTTTTATATTAAAAAAAAAAAACACTCCTGTCAACTAATAAGCTGGGTACAAGGTACTTTATGGCAGTTTGTATTGTTATTGTTTCACCGCTTATTAAGTAAAAAACTAAAAGAAGGGCAATCTGTGGTTTCCAGAAGTATTTAATATCCAGGCAGCTGTGGGACGGGTCAGTTTCAGCTCGGACCGTGAGAACAGCCGAGCTCATCCACACGCCGCCCCCCCCCAACCTCCCCGTTCATCTGGCTGCATGTTTGGGATCGAAAAAGGAGGAGAAGCGCTGGTAGATTAGAAACATTCTCAGCATGTGTAGCTTGACGTTACTAAAGATAACAGCATGAGAAAAAAAACATTTGTACGCATACCTCAGTTCAAACCTATAGGGAATGATTCAATTAAATGAGGGAAAATAAATAAACATTTCACTCAGTTGCACTTAGTTGTGTGTCTTGCATGTGTAGTCTGATACTGTAGAGAGAAAACTACAAAAAAAATGAAATTAGAGTTTGTTTATCAAAGGTTTCATCCTTTTTTCATTATCATTTTTTGCCAAACCAATCCAAACCTCAGGCCTTTTGTTCATCCTCCTGTCACTGTCCTCCGCTGTAATGATGGGTTGTTTTAAGGGCGTTCCAATATTAGGTTGTACATACATGTCGGTAAAGTCTCTTCCTCTCTGTGTCTTTTTTCTTTTTTTTTAAGATCAAAAGATTTGTGTTATTGCTTTATCGCGACTGCTTTGTATTAACTATGAAATAGCTATGAGAAAAAAAACTGCTGTATGTATTGGAATAGCAAAACTGTGCTGCAAATGTATTTTACTTTGTAATCCTTGCTTTAAAAAAAAAAAAAAAAAAAAAATCATCCATGCAGACATCTGGGCAGGCCGGGGGGGAGATTATCCCCCATTTTGGATTTTAAAACTGTAATATAGAAGAAACAGACTTTTCTCTGTTATCATTGACCTAAGCATTTTGTACAGATTTTTCCCTCTTTGTGTTGAAGCTGTTTTTTGATACTTCCTTTTGATGGTCCAACCACTGCCTTCTGTGGCTGTATGTTAGAGATTACCGCTCTGAGAAAAAGGGCACACAGGTATATTTCCTCTACGAGACGGAGATATCTTGCATGACTAATCCCAGGGTCACAGAGAAGGGGGAGGGGGGGAAATATGTTTTAAGTGGTCAGTAATAATATAAGGGTGTAACAATCTAATGATATTTTATATGAAATGAATAGGAAAAAGTAAAAAAAAAATATGCAGTGCCAAGATGTAAAGAATATTGTTAAATGCTTTTTTGTTTCGTTCATTTCACGCACGCATCAAAGATGTGTCCTTCTCATCCATGTCATGTAGGTATTTTGTTCGGCATCAAGATATTTATATTTTTATCTCAAAGGGTCATTGTAAATGAGTCAAACCAAGCACAGCGGACAGGTCAAAGGTCAGACGCCCTGCAAACTGCTGCCGTGTGGCATCAGATCCCCGACATTACACGCTGGCAAAAAAAAAACGCCATTGTTTCATCCTTCACCAACCATCCAGCCCGCTGTCATCGCCCCCCTCTCTCACACACTCTCTCCAGAAAGAGGGGGAGGGAGGAAGAGGGGGGGGGGGGGGCAGGAGCTGTCACGGTGCTCTCATCCCGCTGCAGCTTTTCTATCTCTTACTTTCTGTTTTTCCTTTGAAGATGTACTCTGTAGTTTATTTTATTTTCTTTCTTTTTTTTATAGAGAAATATTATTGCTCATCACTTCCATCAGTCTGTAACCTCCTCATCATTCCTCGTCTGTCTGATGCAGACCACTCTGTTGTAGTCAGTGGCGATGACTGACGTGAGCATTCTAAACATGCAATAAAATGCTGGTTGTTCAGATCCTCGGCTGCAAGTGTCTCTCTTTGTATCGGAGTGTGTGTGTGGAGGTATCGATTGTTTTTGAACGGCTGTGCAGAATGCAGAGTTAGGAAGTCATCTTAAATGGAATGCATTACATTTCTGTTTTGTTTGCACATTTACGATTAAGGGTTACAGGTTCAAACGTATCTGAGTTCTGCCTTTTTGCTCAGAATATGAGAGATTATCACTTTAAGAATTGCTTTGTGAGTTTGTTAGTTTCTGGTCCTCAACAGCAATATACATGAAAGAGAAGTGTTCTATAACCTTGGGGGTAAAGTATAACAGTCTAAGTCATCACATTTGGTTACCCCACAAGGTTGTGACTGCTGCTGCTTTTTTTTGTGTCAGTTTATTTTAGTTTTGTAGATGTTGGTATGTTTTGTCATACATATAGGTCTTAAGATTGTCTGATGACCGTTGAGGATGAAATAGAAACATATTTTTCACATATGTCCCTAATACTTTTCCATACATGAGCAAATCAGACTAAAAGTGAATATATTTCATTGAAGATGGGTTCCTAATTCTGCATCCTACACACATATAGAAGATTTAGCTTTTTCTTCAATGCTAAACAGCTTTGTGCTGGGCTACCATCTAATGCAATGTCAACCAATGCATCAAAAGCTAACATTTCTGACGGACACAAAATCATAATACACGATATATGATGTTAGTATTAACAGAGCACAAGTTAAATCCCTTTCTCATCATTTTGTCCTGCAGAAGGGCTTCACACACTCGTGTTTGTCATCTGCAGCAAGACTCTCATCTCAGCCTCAACATTAAATGATATCGTAATTAAAAAGCGACAGTTAAACTGTCTTTTCCTAACAGCAATTTAGGTAACTGCATTTGATAAGCTATAAATTGTACCAGCATTAAAATTCCAGAAATAATAGCGATATGGATTTGGTGACGGGAGCTATGCTGATGACCAGGACTTGTGTTTTTACGACGGAGGCACAGGTCATGTTGGCCACTAAACAGGAGACAGAGATCAAGTCTAAGCACTTTTAATCTTGTGAAACAAGCAATTACAAATAGTTGCATTGATTTGTTAAAAAGCTTTAGGTGACATAAATCGTTTCTTGCTTAGCTTATTGCTGGAAAACATAAATGTCAAGTGTATTATTAATTAAGGCCTTTGAAAGACAAGATTTAATGGAAACGATATAAAATCACAAGCAATCTTTCCGCAGGCGGTATTTCACCTGACGCTCAGGACTCCTGTATATCAGTGTTGTTGTCGTGACACCAATCACAAACTGGATCCGATAACATAAACTGTGCAGGGAACACGCAGTACTGGAAGCTGTTTGTGTTTAAAAGTCATTCAGAGCAGAAGCATTCACATAAATTAATCGCACAGTAACTTACAGAGAGGAATTAACATATGATATAATTATAGACCATAAAGGTGGATGAAATATTATGGGAACAGTGGCTGTGTACTGACATGATCAGCCAATACTGGCCCTGCACACATAAATCTCAGTCTCCTTGCCCAGCACGGACAACACAGTAACACTTTTACAAAACTTGTTATATTAGTGTACTTTAATTCTTTATAACCCATCTACTGAGGTGGCCCTGAGTGCTCAGTGCACTGCAAATAAAGACACGTGCAAAAAGACAAGCAGTACAAGAAAATTCAACAAACGTATTCACACATTTTACAAAAAATAATGGATCCGCAACCAGAAAGAACAGTAGCATTAGCATTTTCCTTTTTATTTGAGCAGCCATTTAAAATATAACAACATCAAATAAAACGACAAAAAGTTACTAGTAGACGGGAAGTTTATCACCTATCATACACTGAACAAAAATATAAACGCAACACTTTTGTTTTTGCTCCCATTTTTCATGATGAACTCAAAGATCTAAAACATTTTCTATATACACAAAATAACCATTGCTCTCATATTGTTCACAAATCTGAAAAAATCTGTGATAGTGAGCACTTCTCCTTTGCTGAGATAATCCATCCCACCTCACAGGTGTGGCATATCAAGATGCTGATTAGACAGCATGATTATTGCACAGGTGTGCCTTAGGCTGGCCACAATAAAAGGCCACTCTGAAACGTGCAGTTTTGCTTTATTGAGGGGGTCTGGGGGGGTCCGAAAACCAGTCAGTATCTGGTGTGAGGGTTAGGGTTAGGGTAATGTTGTGAATCGAGTGGCCCATGGTGGTGGTGGGGGTATGGTATGGGCAGGTGTATGTTATGGACGACGAACACAGGCCACTCGATTCACAACATTACCCTACCCCTAACCCTAACCCTCACACCAGATACGGACTGGTTTTCTGACCCCCCCCAGACCCCCCCCAATAAAGCAAAAATGCACGTTTCAGAGTGGCCTTTTATTGTGGCCAGCCTAAGGCACACCTGTGCAATAATCATGCTGTCTAATCAGCATCTTGATATGCCACACCTGTGAGGTGGGATGGATTATCTCGGCAAAGGAGAAGTGCTCACTATCACAGATTTTTTCAGATTTGTGAACAATATTTGAGAGAAATGGTTATTTTGTGTTTATAGAAAATGTTTTAGATCTTTGAGTTCATCATGAAAAATGGGAGCAAAAACAAAAGTGTTGCGTTTATATTTTTGTTCAGTGTAGTTGACAAGCGGGTTTAACTACAGATAACAGGCTAACGGTATGTTAACTACGTTAGCTTGTTAGCTATAGCTATTTTCAGATTCGTCTTTATGTAACGCAAATTGTTTAATTTCTGATTTAAAATGAGTCAAATAAGTTGCTATTTTTTAAATATATACTCGTTGTTTCTGTTATAAAACATCAGCAGTAGTTAGCCAGTTTGGTTAGCCATGCCAGTAAAAACCGGTAGGCCTACTTTAAATTGCTTATCCCTTATTAGAGAGGATGAAAGTTACTAGTTGCGGTACAGCTAACAGGCTAACGTAATGTTAGCTCTCTGTAATGAACCTATTTAGTTGAATAAACAGGCTAACGCTGGGATGTTGTGTTTTTTCTAGGGATGTCAACGTTAACGCTTGTGATTAATCTGTCAACCTTAACCCATTAAAGAAATGTACGTTTATCAATCACATTATCCAGTGTTGTCTTGTAATTCCATTACGGATAACATGAATGCATGGCAGTAAAAAGGCAAAGAAAACGGAGGAAATGGCAAAGCTATGTATTTCACTGACTGGAGACCACTAGACATTAGTGAGTAAACATCACTATACCTCTGTGTAACGGCACAACAAGACCCCCTACGACTATTTTATACCCTGGCTTACAATACTTTCATACATTTATTTTCTGTTACTGACAGACATGGGCTTCCAGAGGCACCTTCATGCAAATCTTCCATCCACCTTGAAGACAATGAAGTGAGATATCTTAAAAACCTGGGCAGATAAAACCAAAACGATCTAATATTCTATATCTAATGAGGTAAGTGTTAACTGACCCTATTACAGCACACTGTTAATTTTCCTCATCAATCACAAATATTGCTATTTAACCCGTTTGAGTGATGCTCTCTTCTCCTCTTCTTGTCCTGCTCTACACACAGCTCAGCAGTCATGTTATTTAGCTCTGTGTGATTGCAAAAACAAACACGAATGGCCGCTGTTCACTTTATTCTAATTGAAGTATGGCACAGCCTCATCCATTCACACAAGAGCCTCAGTCAAATAGTCGAGGCTGGCAAACTCCCAACATGGCAGTGAGGCAATTAGCCGTCCTGCAGTGTTTGTTATTCATGGTTTGATGTAAAAATGTGTTTATTAAGATGGGCTGCAGGCCCCGGTGTGCAATAGACCTGCTTGTAATTAGATTCCAATTATTTGTCTGTTTCTGATATTGTAAACTGGCACTTACCACATCAGTTAAATTGACACAGCGCACTGCTTGGTTTACTCGGTAATTAAAACGTGTTCTGTTAATTAGATGATGACCACTTTATTCCAGGGCTCTTGTGTTTGGGCTCCTCGGCGGCTCGCTGTTTGGATCATGAGTTGCCAGACGCTTCCCTAATCAGCCCTTGTTTTGTTTCAATTACCACCTGCTGTTCAAAAGGCATGCCTCGCTGCCCCCACCCCTACACACACACACAGATATATGCACACATACACAACAATAACTGGAGGCCTGCTTTACTACCAGCTCCAGCTCCAACACAACAATCAGGAGTTCACAGCTGGGCCTGCTTTCTTCTGTATTAGAAGGCACAGCTAGGTTTCTAAGAGAGTCCAAGCAATTAAAAAGGGAACTAAAGGAAGATGAAAGAATAAAGGTACTTATCACATCAGTTAGCAGGCCTCGTGTGAGTAGCCAATGGTAATTATGCTCATTGAGTAAACAGCTGAGATGCTCAGATGTCTCCTTCGCTTGGCTAATGTTGGATCCACTGACTGAAGATGACTAATAATATAATGCAGGTGCTGATGGGAACTAAATGATACATTGCTCATGTTTTTATAGCGAGCCAAAATCCACAATTGTTCTCTTTTTCTCCAAAATTAGTTTCAGTGTAACATTTGGCTGCACTTTTGTGAAGTTGTACGTCACAAATTAAAGTTTATTTTAGTTTCTGGAAGTAATAGTTTGACAAACAATGCCAATTCAATTTCCCAGTCTTTTGCCGTATCGTTCCGTTTGTATTTGTGGATGGAGAAAGCTCAGTTGTTAGGTCATTTGACACGTTAGTTCATTAAGTGTTTCATCCATCATTTAAGGACCTTTAAAGGCAGAAGGTGTTGAGGCAGAGTCAAGACTGAAGATTTGGAAGAGTGATTTTGAGCAGTTCAGCGTTCTCATAGTTTACTCCCTTGCAAACTGTATTGAAAATATGCCATAGATTTGATCCTGGAGAAAATCGAGTCAAAAAGGCTTGAGACTTGTTTGTAAGACATACTTTCATTAGTTTATAATACTGCATGATGTCTTTACCCGGCGGTGTGGAGCAGGTGTGCAGAGCCTCAGGTCCGCTGTAAAC